GGTTTAAGATTCCCCTAAAAAGAAAATCCGAACAAGTGTTCAGATACAAAGTGACAGACCACTGAAGCGTTACTGTTGTTGGTGCCAAGCCAAGTCTTGCCTTACGATGACCTTGACATCAGAGGTAATGGTTCATTATAGTTGCTGTGGTGACTCCATTATAATTAGTTCTGAACCAGCTACTCGCTGAAAGCTCATCACAAAGAACTGATAAAACTGACTGTTACTTCTTTATCTCCGTAGCAATCGTTAATAGTTTTGATTTCAGACACGATGTTTCTTTATCTGACAGTGATACATTTTGGATTACTGGTATCATTTTATTCTGAGTTGAATTGATTCAAAAATTACATCTGTCAATCATGGTTCTTGACTCCAAACAAAGAACATACTGAAGGTGAGATTTCAAGTTCTCGAGGCGGCGAGTATGAAGACGTCTTCTGGGATGTTGCACCATGTAGTCTGGTAAAAGTTTAGTTATCGCCTTGATGATGGAGGCAGCAAGCGCCTCCGAAACGTCAGTTAACTTCTTCATAAATTGAAGGTGGCTGAGAAACTGGACGACTTCATTTTGACTTCCTACAATACAGGACCATATAACTTGGCCATCATGTTCGCTGAGTCCCATCATTTTTCCGTTCCATGAACTGGATTTCTTGCATTCAAAGGGGTTTGCCAGGCTCAGTAATAAAATATGATAAACATGATGTTGGCAGACCTGATGACGACATAACTCAATGTTATACAAGTCTTTCTTGAGCATTCAATCAGTTGTACATTTATTTTTGCATCAAATTAACACCGAGGTCAGTGGGACAGCCTACATGAAATCGCAGTCAGCACATTTTATAAAGCCTATGTGGAAATGTTTTCTTTTTTCACTCTTGATTCACCATTTGGTTGTTCTGAAATCTGTCTTTCTACCTTTGCAAATCCGTTAAATAATCCTGGCTTCAGTACTATGGAGCTGTTGAAAATAAACAGAAATTGCGCTCGAATGAACACCTGAAGGCCTTCAGAAATCCGTTGCTGATAAATCGCAAACAAATTATGTGATATTGCCGGCGTTGTGTATACCGTAATAGCTAAAGGAGTGGACGCTGTACCTTATACTTACGAGAGAGGACGGCCCGAAGGCTCTAGAATTGCATTCGTAGGGTAAATATGAGCGAGCGAGCAGGGCAAAAGGGCAATACCCCATAACTGATGCAGGTTCTATGCCTCAGCTGTCTAAACGTAATTTATATGACTGGCATTCATTATCTTTCCACGTTCAAGAATGCCAACGTATTATACTGTGTTTCCTTAAAGGCGATTGTTGCACCATGTAGTCTCATAGAAATTTACCGACGTTTCGGAGGTGCTTACTGTCTCCGTCATCAATCGTCCCGTCTTCATAGTCGCCGTTGTGAGAATCTGAAATCTCACGTCTCTGCTTCAGTTCGAAGATGGCTGTATTCTCGGATATAACACCGTGTAGTCTGGTAGATATTTACCGACGTTTCAGAATAGCATACTGCTTCGATAGTCACCCGAGTTACTATATCTCAATAAGTAATCGGGAACTTGCAATCCATCGCCTTTTTTGTAGATTCCGTGAGGTAGTTTCGTAGCATCAGGCTCGCTCGATAGATGTATCCTTTAGCGTTTTAATGTCTGGTGGTAATTATATGTACCACCCACTTGAATATTCTTTAATTCTGCATTTTTCCCCGCAGAATGATGATTCTTTGAGTAAACAGTGATTATTTCCTTGCAGCAATAATTAGTTGACCTTTGGGAACAAGGCGCGCTGTGTTTTCTATGAGGTAAGGACTGAATTTCTAAACGTTATTTAGACGAGCGCCGGCTTCAAAGGCTTAACCATGAGATAATAGATAATAATCATCATTCCCCCTTGAAAGGAGACCACGGAATTGAATCAGACTAGTAAAAGCTAGTGAAACCAGCCGCTAATAACTAGAGAGGCGAAGTAAATTGAGTGTTTATTTGTATCTCATCTGCGTGCTTCTGCATTACACTGTTCATTCACTCTCTTTTTTTCCCTTTCTACTCTTCTGCACAGCTTTTTACTCAGTCATTCTACGACAATGGTTCAAATTCAGAGCGTTCGCTGCTATGAATTTCATAAAATAGGCGTGAATGATAATCACGATGCATGTAGGGGGCAGCGCTCGTGGACTATTTTAAGGCATGGCTGTATTTGTCTTGACGAAATGAGTAAAACTACTAAACTTCCCCAGTTTAGCCTGTTTTCGGCCGAGATTCGAACACGGAACCTCCAGATTTCAAAGCAGAAGTATTGCGTATAGATGCAGTCTGTTTTTGAATATTGATGTTTGTTCGTTTCCTTTGTGGACGTCCTAACGAACATCGTAACCACGGTACCGCGTGCAAAATTAACATTTGGTTTGAGACCTCCAGTCACAGTACTTGACATCGGCCACGGTCTTGGCAGTCACATTCGTCGCGTCGTTTAAGTATTACAATGAAACTTATTCTTTCATCTTCACGTAAATTTTCCTGCTGTATTTTACTATTTACAAAACCTGTCTTATATCTGCGCACGAAAATACAGGCGATTTCTAATATTTCTCGGAACAGAGTAATCATAGTGGTTCTTTCATTGATGTTATCTCGCTTGTCCTCTAATGTTTCACTGGTGATCACGTGGTTAAGAACTATTTTATTTAGCATGCAGCAAGTTATGATACGAGATCAAGGGGTAGGGTTACGAAGAGGGTTTGCCTGGGGTTGGAAGGTTGTGTGTGTTCGCGGGCGTGCGGGGGCGGTGAAGGGGCAAGGGGGGGGGGGGATCTCGCGTGCCAGTTCTGTACACCAACCGGTTTATAATAGTTCAGTACAGTAACAGACAAACTGAATTTTAAAATTTTCCGTAACTAAATGAAAGTCTTTAATATACTCTCTTGTGATGATGAAGAGGATCTATTAAAAAGCAATTTGAGAAATGTCGTAACAATCTTTAACGACGAATTTCCTCTGCTAGGAGCTCCTTTTGATGCAGCTAAATGTACGGATAAAACTTATCTAATTAATATATTTGGCACGCAGTAGATTGTTTCGAGAAAACAAAGTGATTTCAGTAGGGGCAACTGACTGAAATTCTGTGCATGCAGTAATAGACGAGCACTGAAAAAGCTATAGGCTTTTGTAAATCCAGGGATCACAGTGGGGGCTTTTGTGAAAACGGGAGTGAACCTTCGGTTTTCATAAAGTACACGGAATTCCTTGACGAACTGAGCAAATGCTTCTGAAAAAGAACTTTGCTACTTGCAGTTACTTTGATCGTAGAATGTTGGAACGAATTTATGTTTCTGCTGATCTGTAGTCTGTTTAAAACTTAACTATTTGCAGGAACACGGAAATCACTGTTGATGTAAAAATGACATGAAATAATAACTGAGTGGAGTAGATAGTTCACATTCTCACAGTTACAACTTGATCGTTGTTACTTAAATTATAATACAGATAGAATACCTTGCTGAAAATCCTCCTTCAACCTCATTTACGACGAAAATTAATTAAAACTTTAGCGGTCTGCCTAGTTACTGTCATGACAAGCTGCGGGAAGAATCCTCCGGTCGTTGTTTTTGGCTTTCTTATTCTTTCTACAGTTCATTCACTGATAAATTTGATTGCAATCGTAATTTTCCATCTCCCGGAAGGAACTGCGAAGGCATCAATTTGATTTTATTCTTTTATAGAGCGATACTTGACTCGTATCGGGAAAAACCTTGTAGCGCTTGGCGGTGAGTCATGCAGTTCCAGCCAGGAGGAGGGTATTGACAGTTGCGGAGAGTATCCTACCTCAGAGAGAGCGAACTGTGAGGTCTTGAGTTCGAATTCATATTGGGCCCGGACGTTTTGAATTTTTAATCATTGCGATGATCATTTTAATGTGAGAATTCTGTCATGGACGAGCTCCTCATGGTTTCTTTCGTAAGTGCTCGCAAGAATTAATAAAAGTACTTGTCTGTGGAAAATTCAGGAAAAGAGCCTTACTTAGAAAAAAAAAAAGGCATGTTTCTTCTGACTCGCTAATTTAATGATGGCCCAAAGTATGATTATAAATTAACGATTTCATAGAAGCCATCTTTTAGTTATAGGTCTACTGTAAAATCCTACTTGAACAAGTGGCCTGATCGACAATTCGGACGGCTTAAAATTAATCCTTCCAAAAGTTGGCAGGCATCTGGTCTAAAGAAGTGGTCATGCCACTCGCCTCTAGTAGTGAGAGGCGAGGAACATTTACAGCCACCCCTACCATTCTCACCCTTCAGCATGGGTTCATCTGGCTTCAACCCTTCAAACGACTGGCAGCGTATGGACCGAAGCATCACCCACTTTAACATTCAGTGACCCCGCATTTTTGCCCAAATTCTACATTTATGGGTTTTGTATGATTCTCAAAGTAAACAGCGATTATCGCTAAACAGCATTAACTGCCTTTTCTATGTAATAGAGACGAGTTGTATATTCTTTGAGGGAGAAACTGAACTTTTAAATACTATTTAGATGGCTACACCACAAGCGAAGTAGAATAATATTTATGCCATTTCAATGTATTTTGTGTCCACTGCTCTGAAGTCTCTTTCACATGTCATGCAATTAGATTCGGTGATTAAGATTTGTGGAATATGCCTATGTAGCAGATGAAAAATGCACTCAAAATTTTGTCCGGAAACCTGAAGCGAAAAGTCTGTTTTCGAGACATATGAGTAGATGGTAGGATAATATTAAAGCTGATTTAAATTAAATAGGCTGGGAGAGCTGTATTCATCAAGCTAACTATATGGGCCATTAGCAGGGTTTTTTTATAAGGGGGCGAACTATCGGGTTCCATAAACGCCGGGCAATTTCTTGACTATCTTAAAAAAAAGTTACCGCCCCGTGGATTAGTTAGAGGAAACACAGTGTCTGCTTTCTACCCCACGAAGAAGTATACAGTAAATTGGGGTTAACATTTTGTGCATGCTTACCTCAGGTTCAGTTGAGTGGAGAGTTTCATGTTCTTGCCTCTTCACCCTCTTGAGAGAGCTCCCGTTAACCATCGGATAGGAGGATGGTTGGGTGCCTGACGTGGCGATGAAGGGGAATTGAACTCCGTCCATCCAAAAGTTCCAGCGCACAGGACTAACTGCAAAATAAATACAGTGTGAGATGTTACGTCGTGCAGTTTGGTAGAAATCGAACGTTTCAGATGTGCTTACTGCTTCTGTCATCGGGTCTTTGTTTACTCCGCCTAGACCAGCTGTTCTTAAGGAAAACAAAAAAAAGAAAAGAAACAGTTTAACAAAAGTGCAGTTGCAGCCATGTTCATGAAGAAAAGAGAAATTGACAAGGCTGCGTTCAATTTTCAATTCCATTTCAATGCAGCAGTTTCAAATATAAGTTTATACAAGAAGCTAAATATTTAAATTCGTAAAACAATGCAAGTAGTGATTGTTCAGAACTTGAAAATCAGTCTCGATACTGAAACAAAACTACTGCTTATTAAATCTACTTAATATTGACTGTGTTTTGTTCACGGAAATTGGCGTTGACTGCATTTGCCTCTAAATGAACTTGATAATGTAATTAATACATATCTTAACGTTCTCTGATATTCTTCTCGTTTCTAAGGCCAAGCATGGGACGAGAATATTATGGTAGAAAGGGTAAAGAGACATGTCATGTCTTATACATCAGCTGAGCCATCAACGGAAACTGTCTATACCCAGCCCTCCACGCCATACATACGTCTCTGCTTTCACTTATAATAGTTCGCAACAAGAAACTAGGCTCCCCACAACATGAGTCTCAATTCATGCGTTCTGCAGTCAACTTGCCACTGTGCGTGACTGTCCGGTCTCTCATCTATCGGGATGCTGCAGTGAGATGGAAGTGTGCGATACCTGGTAAGCGCTCTCATGAAACATGCCCAACTCCGCCCTCCTCTTCCCCGCGCCTCCATCAGACGTACGATTATATGCCATAAAGCATAAAACATAAAGCATAAAGCGCTTTTAATGTGTGTGTATGTGTTCAACATGAAATAAGAGAATGTAGTGCCTCAGCAAAGTTGTTTTTAAAATGTAGAATAATGATAACAAAAGAGCATAGACGTAGATTTATGGATAATATAGCAAGCCCGGAATGTTTTTCTATTCCAGGTCGCAGACTGTAATCAGTTGCAATTCTGCTGCATACCATCAAAATTAGTGCCAAACGTGTTTTGTATTAAAAATGTGTGGAGAGATACGAGAGAGTTTGATACGAGGTGCGATCGGAAAGTTTCAAGACTGCGCGTATAAAAACCCGTACACTTATCTCAGGTATTAAATTCATCCATCACCCTCGAAGTAGTTCCCCTGGGAGTGAACACAACGATCCCAGCGCCGCTGCCAAGCCTGGAAGCATCCCTGGAAATCTTTCTTTGTCAGCCGGTCAAGCACCATCTGCGATTCTGCCTGAATCTCTTCTATCGTCTCAAATCTCCTTCCCTTTAGCTGAATTGTCATCTTTGGGAAGAGGAAGAAGTCACACGACGAATAAGGATGGTGTGGGATGACGGCCATGGTGTCTGAGGCCAAAAACTGCCGAACTTTGAAGGCGGTGTGCGCTGGTGCGTTGTCATGATGCGTCGCATGTGGAGTTCTTCCTTTAGAATCAGCTGACAGGTCCCATAGCCTATCCCAACAATGTCGCACAAGTCGTTGATGGTACGACGTCGATCTTCGTAACATTTTCGGGCGTTGTGCCCGAAGATGGTCGTCCAGAACGCTCGTCATCATCGACAGAGGTTCGGCCATTTTTAAAACGTGAATGCCACACAAAAGTTTGTGCACGACCCATTGCGGACTCCCCAAATGCTTGCTTTAGCATTTCACAGGTTTCCGTAGCCGTTTTGGCGAGTCTTTGGCAAAATTTGATGCACACGCCATTCCGAAAGCGCAGGAGGGTCGGTGTAATGCACTACCAAAACGCCCGTAACTAAGAAACAAATGCTAATTCGATGATGCCGGCTGGCACACTGATTCACTATGAATGTAGGCCGCACCCCCTAGCGGCAGAAGCTCGTACTACATCCGGTTCGCACTCTATTGACACAGTCTTGAAACTTTCCGATCGCACCTCATATGTTACAAACCAATCGCTCACTTTGTGTCGAAGGTCTTTTAAGGAGTTGGAGAGTGTCAATGACGTATGTCATTGATTAAAGGATGAACCCTAGAGCTTTTGATGCAGAGAACTTTGCTAAGCCCAACTCAGAGAAGGAACTATAAAGCTCACGAGATTTCAACACTAGCAGGCAGAGAAGATTTAGACACGTTCGATAGTGGAAATACAAATAAGGCACTAATTACGCTTAAAGTGGGGGTTATGGTAGCTTCAGACGTTGATAGGCAGACGGATTCAGTAGTGTGTACAAACAGGAAGCTTGGAATATTTCTTAACACAATACCCAAGTGATTTTGACACACGCTTGGACGCAACGTCGAATCCTGTTCTAAAAGTCAGGTAGTGGAAATGCAATATTATGAAATCCCTCCAACAATTGTACTACAATACTAAGTTTTTTAAATAACAAAAGCATTACTTTTAGTCGTCTGGCATTCGCTACTGAAAACATTGTTTTGATTTCATCGGGGAAAAGCCATATAGTTTCTACACACGCATTTGTAAGGTATCACCTTTGAGGATTCCACGTGAAATATCGATGTCTGCAGCATCCCTACAGAGAAATCCAAGGAAGGATTGTGTACCGTCATTTTCTGTGTAACAAATGTGGTTGTACCCGTGTAGGTATATTCCCTGGAGTGGCGAACTGGCTTTTTTCTCGGGGTTAGGCATGTGCAATAATGCTGGATAGATAGAGTTTCAAGGCCGTCAGGTGAACTGTCTGTGGTGTATCCACAGCAAACAAGGCTGCATTGTCCCGGGAAAACTGCAACGGCGTCCTACAGAATATCTAAAAATGATTTTTCCAACTTTAGTGTCATCTTGGAAATAATGAGCTGTGGTTGAGTCAATGTTACTGGAATTAAAACCGTCTTCAAATTGGAGTAAAAATAAAAGTTTGAGTTACGCGGCAGCGCCTCTGAAACTACTACCAGACTACACGGCACTACAGCCCAGAAGACAGGCATTTCAAGAAAAATATTGTTTGAAGATCAGTTAAGTAGCGGACCGCAAAATTAGCGGTACTGAACCTTCGTGTTGTAATATCTCGCGGCTAGTTAATTTAATTCTCACCTCCTCGCCCCCCCTTCCCAAATAAAAGTAAATCAGACTTTATGATTACATTACCTTTAGGCTTAAATATAGCTCAGACTAGATGCGCTGAGAACATAATTTATGATGACTTGATCATTGGTTTGAAGAACCTCAGAGTTCAGGAGTTATTTTAACGTTCCTAAAGCCTGATTTTTTTATTTTTGTTAAGACACGACTAATGAACTGTGAATGAACCAAACTAACGTGGCACTCTGTGTATTAGTATAGACAGGTGAATGACCCAAATACAAAGATGGCATACAGAACTGAAGGTTACGAACTTCAAACGGCGATAAATGTGTGTGTTTTTGTGAATACTTAACAAGGTATGCATCTCTGAAAATTGTAATAGAATGTTCTAAGAGACCGACATGGACAAATGTTCGATTTATTCTGAATGAAAAACGAACAGATATGAACCAGCATTAAAGTCTCTGCCACGTTTAGTGCAGAACTTTCTTCCCTTTACCAAATAATATTTATTCATGACGACAAGTGTCGTTACAGCCGCTACATCGTGTAGTCTGGTAGACGTTTACCGACGTTTCAGAGATACTTACTGCCTCCATCATCAGGGTTTATAGCCCAGTACGTACCTCTGATCGACAGTAAACCTCCATCAGATTAGACGGCGTAATAACCTAGAACAGTGGTATTCAACCTGGGGGTACGTGAAATTTAAATATATATATTATTTTATGATGAACACTGAATAATCAGTAATGTAATTTATTTAATTTATTTTAGATGTAGATTATATACTATGTATAACTTGAATTATACACCAAAAACTTTGGGGGTACAAAGTTGAAGAGAAATTATATCTGGGGGTACGCGAACAAAAAAGGTTGAATACCACTGACTTAGAAGACGGACATCTTAATACTCGTCGCCGTGAGAACCTGAAATCTCACATATTTCTTCATAATCCTGCGAGTGCTTTCCGCAGTGGAACATGAGAAAAAGCTCGACACGATTTGCACATTACATGTTTGTTTTATGTTGCCTACGTTGTGCAAAGAGAGCACGCAGACTTACAAATCATGCTACATCTATCGATATTAAGATCTCCAATACCAATAATGTTCTCTAATCTGCTAGGCAATCAAACTTGTTTCTTCCTTATTTTTTATCTTCGGTGGCCGAGGTGGGACGGGTGACTGAAATGTAACAAGACATTTTCTTTCACCGTATACTCGCGTTTTGTCTAAAATGCAATTGTGGCGTAGGACGGTTGAGGATGACGTAAGTACCAACATTGACATTCTGAATGGATTCCCGGCTTGTGTGTATAGACATAGCTGACCAAAATGTAAGAAAATAGTTAATTATATTTTTAAGTACACTAGTTCGGACCCTGGCTTAGTCCGCTTAAGTTTCCTGAACGACGCTGAACTACGCGTTCTGTTTGAATATGGATATTTTATTTTCTCAGCCGGAAAAATATGATTATCGTTGTAGCGCATCTGATGTCAGAGGCTACTAACGTAGGCAGTGGTCCAGAGACCACATGCAGTAATCTTAATGATTCAGTGGAATTCACATCCGAAATACAGAGTAAATATCCGAGGTCCATTCGTGCTGAGGACGTCGGGATTATTCTTTGTTCAGTTGGCTGTCGCTCACTTTAATTTAGTATTTTAATAGAATTACGGTACTTATGTCTGGCATGTTGTTAAGGGCGTCCTAGAAGCCCACGTACTGTTGACACGGGCACGTCGGCCATTGGTAAAGAATTACGCCTGCGAATCAATGTGGCAACGTCACAATCAGACAGTATTGTTGTTTATGGCAAAGCTCAACATAAGCACAATTATCTAACATAGAACCCACACACAAGGTAGTTAATTGCTTGCACTATACTTTTTGAAGCCGACGGCGAAAAAACGTAATTTTATTAGAAAGTTCCCAGGCTTTGTTCGCTCGTCCTTCAGGTAAAAAAATGTGTTAAACAAGTTTTATATGAGTGTAAACTTCGTTTCCTATTTTCATAAGAAGGGAAGAAACAGCGTAAGTTTGTGTTTACTCTGTATGAAGTTCAGTCTGGATGACACCGTACAAATGACGTCGATGTAAAGTTCCGAGGAATGTGTACGTCACCATCCAGTCTCCTGGTCGAGCTGTCCTCCACATTGCATCTGCCACTTGGTTAATAACCAGAAATAGGTGAGAGAATATAAAAGAAAGATACAAAATTTCATTTTGGAGTTGCAAGGATATATAAACGGAACTGAACATCTATTTTGTTCTTTCCACCCGGGAGTTTATGATTTATAGTCCATTAATATAAAGATATAACACATATAATCTGGCACAATAAGCATGTTTCCACAGAAACGTGGGCAAGACAATTTATCGTTCAAGGGACGCAGTTCGAATTCTGAGCAACGCGTGGCCACACCTCTCTCTTGTCTGTCCATTTCCACTAACGCCTCGCCTTGACATCCATCTGTTCTCACTTCTGACGTCTCATTCTCATTTGTTATTTCGCAGTCTCTGGTTCGATTCTAGTCTCCGCCCCTTACATAGTTCTAGAATACACGGCATTTTGTGTCCAGCAGCCGTTGTCTGCCCACGTATCTAGTATATCAGTTTTAATTTTCTGTGACAGCTTGTCTTGTCCATGTTGATAGCCCTGCCTCGTACGTGCCTGACAAGATTCCATTATCTCTGTACTCAACGTAAAAACATCTTTTCTGATTTACGATACTGTTTTGTGAAATGCATACATTTTAGTCCGAAAACCTGGAGGGAAGAGACCACTTTGGAGACATGGGAGTAGATGGGAAGATAACCGGACATTAAAGAAACAAAACGTGAGTGTGCACTGAATTTCACTGACTCGGGGTAGGGACAAGTTGTGGCGGGCTTGTATAAGCACACCGAGCCCAAAAAAAGATGGGAATTTTGTTTTAATTTCTGAGGGACTGTTAGCTTCTTAAGGTTTATGCGGCGTAAAATTACTATTCTATGTTTTTCTGTCGAAAAACTGAAAAGGTATTTCTTAAAATTTCGCGCATTTTAGGTAATAACATTATTAGCTTCTAATTTGTTAATAATTTTTCTGAGCGGAACGGCTGGACTGTCAGTGTAGCCATTCACCTTTATAAAATACCGAGGTTAAAAAATTCGTGTAGCTGGATGTCCCTTGCCCAATGCATCTTCATAGAGTGGCGAGTAATTAAAAGTAATTAAACGCAGGCAACTTTTCTGTCTGTTTTCTTTACTCTACACAAATCCTGATCAGACTATGATTATTACAACTTTCGAGTTCGAATTCTACTTACGTGAAGAGGAATGAATTCTTAAAATTACAGAGTTTTTAAACAAGATCTGTGTTAGAATTGGCTACGGTTTGAGAACGACAGACATTTGTAGGAATTCCAAGAATGCGTATTATACTGGCAGGTGCTGCTAAACAAAGCAGTGGCTAACCAGACCCCTTCTTTGAGTGATGGACTAACCTTATCGGAGTTGTAAACCAAGGGATAGACGTCTTTAGCTAAATACGTTTGCTTGTTTTCTAAAACCATAAATCTCCTTCTTGAAGATTTTATTGCGGGTTTCGCTCACCAGCATCCAGTACTCTTCCTCTGTTCATGCAAAAACGTCAAAATTTTGCTTGTTTTCTAAAACCATAAAACTCCTTCTTGAAGATTTTATTGTGGGTTTCGCTCACCAGCATCCAGTACTTTCCTCTGTTCATGCAAAAACGTCAAAAACACATGAGGATGGACAGAAACTGTTTAAAAAATTTGTTGGCGGAAGCAAAAGTTGATGAATATAGCCGCCAATAATTCTTGAACAAGTGGGCCTCAACTTTGCGTCCAAATTCAGATTTGGTTTAATCGACGTTTCAGACGTCTTGCTGCATCCTACATCAAGACGATGAGCAAGCTAAATACCTCTGAAATGTCTGTAAAGTTATAAGAGACTACATCGCGCTAAACCAAGAAGATAGCCATCTTCACACTCGCCATATATCCCTCTAGGACAATCTTTGTTTCATTCACTTTACAGCTGGGTGGGCAGATAATTCTGTTCTGAACGGTTTCCTTTGTCTTCCAGCAGTGACAGCAGGAGTAGTGACAGGCGAGGGGGCACGCATCAGGGGCAGCGCTGAGCGCCGTCATGGCACAGCATGTGCCCGCGCCGCTGCCGCCGTCGTCGTCCCGCCCCGCCGTCGCGCTGCTGGGGCGTCTCTCACCCATGGTATGCCCTTTGGCCAAGCTGGGCCGAGCGTCACCCTCCATCGACTCGCAGGTTGCTTACCGCATGTCCCGCGGCTCCACTTCCCAACAGTCTCTTCAGCCACTGGAAACACCCACTGTGAGCGTCGCGGTAGCTAGCTACCACCTCGACCCGTCGGCCTACCATTGCACCACAGCCAGAGGATCCCCTGCCCAGTTGGACCAGAAGGGCTATAAGCATCTGGAACAGGGTTACCACGTTCTTGGGCGGACCTCTCCACCGTTAGACTGTGGCTTCCAGCTCCGGAGTTCTCCGGCATTGACGAGAGCGTCTTCTCCAACATTGGACCATCTTCAGTGTTACCATCAGTCGAACGATCAGTCGTACAGTTCTCATCACAAACTTGGGCGTTCTTCACCGTCTCTAGACCAGGGTTACCACACTCTGGTATCTCCAAGCCCTGGGCCATCTACTCCTGGACCTTGGATTGACCCCCACCCCCCGATACTTCCTCTTCCCTTAACTGGAGCTGAAGCCCCCAACACAGGCGCAATGCTGAAAGGGAAACGTTTTCACTCGAAGAATTCGCCGTTTGATCGCTTGCCGGACGAAGCCGTGATCAAGATCTTTTCGTGGCTGGACAGTAGTGAGCTGTGCGTCTGCGCAAGAGTGTGTCGGCGGTGGGAACACCTTGCTTGGGAACCAAGATTGTGGAGAACAATCAAATTGAGCGGTGAGGGCGTGTGTGGTGACAGGGCTGTCCGTGGAGTTCTCAGGCGTCTTTGTGGACAGGGACGGACCGGTGCGTGTCCGAACGTGGAACGTGTGTTTCTGAGCGACGGGGCGAAGGTCACGGATCGAGGACTGACACTTTTGGCCAGGCGGTGCCCAGAACTAACGCACCTGCAGCTGCACGGGTGCAATACCGTGACTAACCCCACTCTCTTTGACCTCGCCGCTCGATGCTCGAATCTCCAACACCTCGATCTTACTGGTAAGTGATCTAAACAATCTCTTTAAGGCAAGAGTCTTCATATTTTTCTCTTAACGATGGAAAACAAGTCCATAGAATAATACATTATTATTATTATTATTATAATATTATTATTATAACATTCTAAGAAGGGGTAACATGTCTTGGAAGTGCAAGGCATTTCCCGGCAACACTCAGCTTAAGGACGATATTAAAAAAAAATACCACTACGCTTTGCAACGAAATTGTCACTCATTCAACGCAACGTAGACACAGGGCACAGTAGCGAATCATGTGCTTCATATCATTTAGCCGTTTCTGTGAACATCACAACGTAGCAGTGTCTAGAATGTACAGTGAAAAAAAGAAACAGATTCCGTAATGCGTTCCATTTAAACTCAGTGCCAAATGAAACGACGTTCGAGGAAACAGGTCTTTAGACGAAGAACATTTAAAGACTTGGTTCTTTCCCTGGGTGTGTTCGAAGAACAAGCCGTTCTACCTTTCCTCTCAGACGAGGTGCTATGTGGAGCTTAGTGCCAACAGCTGGTCATATGAAGAAATGTGATTCGCTGATTTTCCGCCAGGCGGAGACGATCCGACAAGGCGAGTATGATGACCCCGTGAACCTTTCAGCAGCAACATCTTCAGTTCCACGTTGCCAGATGGAGATACTAATAACAAATTTGTCCGTCCTCCATGTTCCTGGATATGGATCTAATCGTAAACAGTCTTCTGTAACACGGTTACTGTAATAAACATGATCTTATACGTAATGTGCTGCATCATATCACAGCCGAATGTGTAATGTTGAAGGACTGCATTCTGAAAGTGACCACTAGGCCTGGGAAGATCCCACGCGTGGAGTTGTTGAAAACATGTGCATATTTACTTCGATGCACCATACGTCTCAATGGGAGCTGCAAAATTCGTGTCATTAGCGAGTTAAATCGAAGTTACGCGCAATTACAAGCGAACGTTTTTAACAATTGTATGAGATCCTGATTTCTCAAGGCGGTGGAGATGTCGATGTTGGTCTTCTGGGTTGTGAAGTGTGTCGCTTCCATCCTTACCCTGAAGGGCGAACCACAAAGATGATGACGCAGTGGCAAGACCCCGAAAACCATAAAGTGAATGTCGTTGGTGCGTACATCGCCTTGGTATTCTAGAACTGCGTGGTAGGACTGGTCTTCCTGGCTTGTTGGGCCCTACTTTTCGGGCAAGTCAAAGCGCTGCCTGAGACACACAGGACACTTGCCTGCTTCTGCCACAATAACAGCGATAATGCAAATATTATTACTTCGTCTGATTCATTAGTTTTCTACCAGACATCCAGAATTATTTTTGAACAAATCAATATTCACACAGTAGGGGCATTCACATCACCACTATTGGTACGAAATGCTTTCGCCCACTTTGATAATTTGCCTTTGTGAACAATTTTTCTTGCCACCTTTCCTAACCTTTTTCTACATTTGGTAGTACTTCTTGTGTGGGGGTCGGCTAGTGGCAATACCTCTTACCTACACAGAACAACTCAACAGAAAACGTGGACGCACATCCTTGCCTCGAGTGGAATTCGAACCCACGACCTAGGCATTCGAACGCCCAACAAGGAAATTAACTTATTTTGCGAAGTTCCATTTCAAAACACGACTTATCTAAATGTAACCAGATCTTTCCTAAAAAGTTAATACTGTAATTAGTTATGTGTTCAAGATGTTCGTCGCTTTTATGAAACCAGGAGCTTAATAGCGTGTTCACAAAAGTCTGCCACCGAATCCGATCGCGTGCAAGTTCAAACCACACTCTCACTTCATATCCTCCATTTTAATATTGTCCTCCAATGTACACGTATCTTAAAGTTTCCCACTAACTTTTGATTTCTCACTAAAATTGTAACGTGGAACCCCAGAGCAATAGATGTTTGGAATTGCGTCTTCTGGAACAGTGAGGTCGTCCAGCACAATTGCCTCTCAAGTCATACAACGGAATATTTGAACCATTAATGAAATAATACATTTATTTCTTGTCGAATCACATTAAAATTTTTTCCATAAAACTTGTTAAAACTGTTACAATAAATTACGAACTAGATATACTGGGTACAATATAATTAGAAGCATGAGTGACATCGGTCTGTTACGTATTTGCAGTACTGTTTCGCCTTCATTCGCGATTGGTTATTTAAAGGTTCTGTGCTTCTAATTGTAGAGGGCCGAGTGTGCAAAAGCATGTATTTTCTTCAGTAACAAAAATGAAGCCACCAGAACAACAACCACAGACGATGTTGCAAACTGATTGACACCAGTTGGGATCACAACTAATTTATTCCTTGTATTTCGTTTAACATTTACAATATCAACCGAGAGATAGTTCAATTTTTTTTTAAAAAAAACTGCGAAACATAGCGCGATCTGCCATTATTATCACTTCCGTTTCCGTCTCTTCTTCATTTGATCGCCGCGAGAGGGTACTCAAAGATCCTGGAGCAGTGTTAACAAATGTTTGATCAATGTCGCGGCGTTACTTACGAATGTGGCAACAAGGCACGAGAGACTCTGCAAGGTTAGCTGCAGCACTGAAGGTGAAAACAGGTAGTCGTCAATGGGCGGCAATATCATGGCTTCCAGTGATGGCTCTGTGTTGCTGGTAGCATCTGTACCAGATTGGATTGTCCTGTTGGATCTTGCGATATTCTGATTATTTTTGGATTTGACTTCCACTGATTGGAATTTCGTTGTGAAGGATGGACTACACGCCAAAGATACTCATTAAAACACGTTGATTAAGTGAACGAATAGATAAATTGATTAACAACCAAAAGTATGACAGCTTCGTTCGAACTGAATTTTGAAACTACAGGAGCTAGCTAGCTGTAAGTTGAGGATTTTCACTGCAGAAAATTTAAAACTCGTTGGCTCTAATTTTTAGACTGAACATGTTAAGCAAAATTCTCTTCTATGAAATTTAATACAATATTTAAATATTTTCCACATGCATTGGCCTAATTATACTCGTAATGTCTGGAAACTGAAAGTTTTCTTGCAAATACATCGCCGAAATAATAATCAACCCACTGAAAAAAAATTCCTATTGTCTATTGGTCATAATTTACTCGTGATATATCACTGTATGAATGAATGAATATTAATGCATGCTCGCGTAGTACCTGACTCTAATTAAATGCCAATGAAGATTAAGTCCGATTTAGGAGTATGCTTGAAAAAGGGTCGAGAGAGCTCATTTATTTATATATTTTTCTCTCACGGATTGCTTCCCAGCGTCATGTTTGCTGCCCTGGAATCTGTGCGAGTTTCAAAGAGACGCATAACCTTGGTAAATGGCGTTAAATGGTTCGAACTGATTAACTGTATAAAATTACTGTTCACGATTAAATCACTGTTCATCGAATCAACCGCAGTGATCGATTAGTACGAGAACTTGGTCGGTTAGTCACGGTATCGATTGTTTTATGTTTTTTTAACTGTTGGACATGAACCCGTTCGAGATAAAACAAGCAAGAGTATTATTGCGCCTTCCTAGCCACTTGGGAATTCGGACTCCTTATTAAAATGTTGCAATCAAATTGAATGTTGGTCCTAAGTGGAGAACTAAACTATTTGACAGACAAAATAAATTTTAGACATTTTATAATGCCAAGCAGATTGAAACATGTTTCACACTACAGTTATCGCTACTAACGAGGCTTCGTCACGTGACCTCACTTAATACACTGTGTCGTTTCCCAGACAAATGACTATCAAATACTAAAAGCTGGTCTTCGTGAAGACTGTCTTTTTTTGCGATCCAAAGCGTAACAGTGACTCACTCTGGCTAATAAACGGATTGTTGGCGTCACAAAACGAACAGATCGCTTCCCACCATATAACCATTCACTTTAGTTGTATCAAGAATAATGTATTGTCTTATTTTTTATTCCTTCTTATAAACAGCTAGAGGTTTGTAGTTGACGAAGTGGCATTTGATCAGATTATTTTCCAAGTTTCGGAAACTCTTTCAAAATAACTTATATCATATTCCAGTATTTGGGACTTACAAGAATGTGCATTAATTAATATATACAGGTTACAATGCATTGTTGCAGAATAAAACGACATTTAAAGTTTATATTAGTGAAAGCAACAGGGATCGGTAAACAAATTTTACCTTTGTAATAGTAATCGTCACTTACTCCCAGGTTTTAACGTGAATAGGTGCATCGACCGTGTAATGTCCAGCGAGGAACATTATAAAGCGATGGTCTGTGGGGAGTGTAAGAATTGGAAGAGGACCGAAGAGTTGTGAAGAAGATAAAATTATCTAATACTCTCTGCAGTGTTAATTTTCTGGTGATGTATAGTGTAATGAAATCGACATTCCTGTGTTACATACCGTGGTGATATTTTATTTGGAGTGTACTGTACGCGGCCTGCTGCCGTCCCTTCCGGCAAACTTCTGGTAAGTGACTCGCTCCGAGGTTCCAATTCACAAAGTTCAGCGGCCAAAAACGCTGGAACGTAGTATGCTCACGGCTGTGAAGATGTCTTTGTCGGTCTACTGAGTTGTAACGCAGTGTAGACTTGCACGTGGATACCAACGATTCTTAGAAACACACTTCCTCCATTTCGGCCCTGAAAATAGAGGCGGCATGTTCCTCCGAAACTTTTGTACCACTTACAAACCAACGGCGTCACAACCTATGAGACCAAAGGCGAAAACTGCGTGTCGTATTCATGAGTTACGTGACAAAAGTGGGGCATTTTACATGGAGAACTACGCTCTACTTTGTGGATGTCGTGTGCCCAATTCGATCAAGTTCTAGCGAGCAGGTTGTTGTGGCACTCGCATGTTTGCTTCGCAACCGAAATGGCGGACGATAATGAAGCAAAGCTCGTTTGGTGAACGACTGAATTATTAATTTCACAATACGAGACGCACCACCACGCGAACAAATCTACAATTTATGTGATACGGGACGTAACTTTCTCTGCTTTAGTCTTATACTTTCTGACCTGTTAATACACAAGCAGGCGCACTTGTCTTGCATTCAGAATGTTTTATCTGAATGGGTCCAGAACAAATAAACACATTTATAAACAAAATCATGCAACGACAAGAAACATTTGTAATTAGACTTACCACAGTTTCACTTTAAATGCACGTTTCTGCCTGTTGATATTCCGCCCAATTACCACACAACTAGTTGCGCCACAGCACACCGGAGAATGCGGGAACTGAGTGAACTAATTCAATATTTCGTGGTGGGGGAAGAAAGAAATCTCTGGCTAGTACGTAGTCGGTGTAGTCATCAACAAGCATGCACTTGCCTTTCGTTCTGGCCAATCCGACTACGCAAAAGCACAGATTATTAACTCTCAATATGGGATTTAAAATTAGCAGCAGACGGTTAGAAAAAAAAGTGAAGCTGCTGCTGCGAATATTTTAAGAGTCGTGCACATGAACGAACATTTTAAGCACGCGTAAACCTGTGTTATGTTTTTATTGTGTCCAAAACGTATTAACACCGCGAGTTTCCAACGGTAAATTTGATACTATCTTACTTCCAAACAAGTGCCTGCAATCTAAATATCCTCTTAATTTAAAAGCGAAGGTTGAGGCTTACTATTTTAGAGATGTAAGTGCAAATATACGCCTTTGAAGACTAACTCGGAGTTTCTCAAACATTTACACGCTAGAATATAGCCTATTTAATACCTCGCGGCATGTTCTAGGCGTTTTTAAAGTTATGTACGAGGTGCGACCGGAAAGTTTCAAGACTGTGTCAATAGCGGGCGAACCGGATGTAGTACGAGCTTCTGCCTTTAGGGGGTGCGGCCTACATTCATAGTGAATCAGTGTGCCAGCCGGCATCATCGAATTAGCATTTGTTTCTTAGTTACGGGCGTTTTGGTAGTGCATTACACCGACCCTCCTGCGATTTCGGAATGGCGTGTGCATCAAATTTTGCCAAAGACTCGCCAAAACGGCTACGGAAACCTATGAAATCCTAAAGCAAGCATTTGGGGAGTCCGCAATGGGTCGTGCACAAACGTTTGTGTGGCATTCACGTTTTAAAAATGACCGAACCTCTGTCGATGATGCGCATCATGACAACGCGCCAGCGCACACCGCCCTCAAAGTTCGGCAGTTTTTGGCCTTAAACACCATGGCCGTCATCCCGCACCCTCCTTATTCGTCGGATTTAGCTCCGTGTGACTTCTTCCTCTTCCGAAAGATGAAAATTCAAGGGAAGGAGATTTGAGACGATAGAAGAGATTCAGGCAGAATCGCAGATGGTGCTTGACAGGCTGATAAAGAAAGATTTCCAGGGATGCTTCCAGGCTTGGCAGCGGCGCTGGGATCGTTGTGTTCACTCCCAGGGGAACTACTTCGAGGGTGATGGATGAATTTAATACCTGAGATAAGTGTACGGGTTTTTATAGGCGCAGTCTAGAAACTTTCCGATCGCACCTCGTATAATGCAAACTAAACTGTAGTAAACATGGCCCTAAGTGATTTAGTAAATGTCTCTTGGAATTTGATCGAATTCAGTTCTGTATTTTGGACCCTGTTACACGAGGATGGACGATGGATTTCAATTTTTTCGAAACGAATCTAAAAACGCAACTTATTTTGTATCAAACTGTGTCGACACGTATCAATATGATAAAGATTCACATTCGTTTCTTTCCGACACTGTATTAACAGAGCAGCATTGTTAGAGGAGAAGCATTTGTTTTAATATGCACATAGCCCGGGGTCTCGACAAGAAAGGTGAGGTCGTGTGATTCTCAGGAGATCTCATCACGAACTTAATCTTTGGCCATGAAGAGGAAATGCGTTAACACGACGTTTGGAAGCGTATCTCTGCTTCCCGTTCTCTAGGTCACTAGATAATAGCAATTTGAATCTCGAAAGCAAAGTCAAAGGTCACTCCACCACTCAAAAGAATATATATATATATATATATATGACTTTTCAAATTGAAAGCTGTACTTGAAGAACATGACACTTGGGAATGGCTGCAGATTTCAAACATGATCAGGCATCAGAATGATAATAACACAAACTTTCAATGTTATGTTTGGAAAATAAATTAAATTTAGTTAGGCCCAAATTTCCTTTAACTTTGTCCTGGCCTACTGCGGGACGTGACGTATCCATTATTTTTATTTAGTGTTCTGTCTGACGACAGGTCCATATGAACAGGATCCTTCCATCCTTTTCTCGGACTGGGACCTGTTCATATGTGTTTTAGGCAGGTGATCCAGAAGTTCTTCTGTGTGTGAATGGAGTAATTGTTGGGATGCCACGGAGAAACCGGGGAAGCCCCCGGAGGAAAACTCCGTGTTGCCTAGACCACGGCCTTGCCCAACACAAGTTATAAATTCGGGCACCGCCGGGAATCGAACCCGAGACCCCCAGGATTACAAGGCCAGCGTTCTAACTGCTAGACCACAATGGCGACGTATCCATTACGAGCTTTAAACACTGAACTGAAATAACCTGGTATACGTTTCTTCTGTAAGGAACAAGTAAACTATATTAGATGAAAGTTTTACTTTGTTCTGGATTTCTATATCCCAATTCCGTTTTCTGTCATATTCCAGTGACTTGATGCTAGTTTTGTGTACCACGCCAATGGACAGATGCTTAGAAGGGAAGACAAAAAATGCTTTAAATTTATATTTTATTGGAACATTTATATTACATATAAATGTTCCAATAAAATAAATGCATCTTACTGCGAGTGAGACTGGTGAGGCTAAGGTAGTTTCTGGAGATACAGTGCATGTGGAAGGGACGACATCTGTGCAATAAATTATACAAGTAAGATTCTTGGTTCTCTTTCTTCAGGCGAGAACAAATCTACCACAACTAAGTACAGAATTTTAACTCTTCACCTAGTAGTATCAACTATGCCGTCGACTGACAGGTTAACATGAGCGCATTTCTAGTCAGATTTTTATCTCTACTCAGAACCTAACACGACTTGTTCGAACCGAATGTGTGAATCTTCTTCAACGTACGTATGCCTGGTCACATCTCTGCAACCGAGAAGGAAATATGAATGAAGGACACAAGGAAAGAATGTGGAATGCCAATATTTGAAATAGGAAAAGGTTGTCTAGGTGTCGCCTACACTCGAACAGCTAATGGTAATGGCGGGTGTGTACTTTCCTACGTCATAGAGTTTTGTGCGGTACACAAAGAAAGACATGTTGACCTAACGGATTTAATCGTTTTCTTGCAGAAATCAGGTTTTGCTCTCCGATAACAGATATCTTCAGTCAGTATTAGATTTCACAGAGTGACATGTTATGACGAATAGTGCCTGTGTATAAACAGGTTTCTTAAAGATGGGACAGGTTACAAAATGGTGTCTGCGGTATGTCGCACTGGTAACTCCTAAACAAGTGAAGACGCGAATATGACAGCGAGCTGAGTCACTGTTAGCTTCTGAAGAAGGACTCTGCTTCATGGAATTAGTGGGCCTAGTAACAATAAGCTTACGAGTAAAAGTAAAGTAAGGTTTGTCCCACTATACGTCATGTAGGCGTTTGGGGTGAGTGGTCAGCATCACGCCCCGGCCGGCTTTACCCCCGGGAAAGGACCCCGGTACCCATTGTAGAGGAGGCTGGGTGGGCCACAGAGCCGGTCTGGACGCAGAGGCTAGAGGAAAAATCCTCTGCCCCCGCCGGGGATCGAACCCCGGTCGTCCAGCCCGTAGCTAGTCACTATACTGACTGAGCTATCCCGGCTCATAATAAGCTTACGAGTGGTGTTCAAAATCTATAAGAGTGTTGGGCACTCGTATTTATGCCAGTATTGTTGTTATTTCGTTCAGCGTCACGACGTAGACGTCTTTTATTTTAGGATGTACGCGGATATCTTGCATCAGCGTGACGCCGGGCCCAGAACCTCCCCGGAGACTCCTGCTCCAGTATTTGGATCTGACGGACTGTCACGCGGTGGAGGACGGAGGACTCCGGGTCATCGTGAGGAACTGCCCGCAGCTCGCGTACCTCTACCTGAGACGATGCATTCAAATTACAGGTAAGCCAAACACCCGATTCTGATTCTGAAGTTTCAGGTTTTCACGGCACTGAGTGTCAAGATGACTGTCTTCTGGGATATTGCACCATGTACTCTAGTAGCAAATGACCGGCGTTTCAAAGGCGCTTGATGTTTCCATCATCAAGGTAGATAGCCCTGATCACCCTGAGACGTCGGTCAGTTTATATCAGATTACACGGCGCGACATCCCAGAAGAAGCCATCTTTGATTTTGTGTGTCACGCCACACCTTCCTCAGTTAAAAGAGTTGTTCTTACTAGTAGCGTCAGAAATATCTAATGGGAGGTGAAATGTCTGTCCTCTTTCGTTGCAGATGCTGGAATCAAGTATGTACCGAGTTTCTGTTCAATGCTACGAGAACTGAGCGTATCTGACTGCACCCAAGTGACAGACTTCGGTCTTTACGAACTGGCCAAGCTGGGAGCGACGTTGCGGTACTTATCTGTGGCAAAGTGTGACCAAGTGTCAGACGCCGGTCTCAAAGTTATTGCGCGGAGGTGCTACAAACTGAGGTACCTCAACGCTCGGGGCTGTGAGGCAGTTAGTGATGACGCCATTACTGTCCTGGCTCAATTCTGCACTCGGCTTCGAGCTCTGGACATTGGTAAGTGTGACGTGAGTGATGCAGGGTTGAGGGCGCTTGCTGAGAGCTGTCCAAATCTCAAGAAGCTGAGTCTTCGGAGTTGTGATCTTGTGACAGACAGGGGAGTGCAGTGCATTGCATATTACTGCAGGGGATTACAGCAACTCAACATCCAAGATTGCCAGATATCCCTAGAAGGTTACAGAGCTGTTAAGAAATACTGTAAACGCTGCATCATTGAACATACAAATCCAGGATTTTTCTAGTTTTTTTAATTGGTGATTTGAGTTTCGTACCAAAACTATGATGCCGATCTAATGTATGAAACATTTGTTCACCATTGTCATTTTTCACTTCGGTGAGTACCAGCGTGTCTGATCTGTCGTAATCCTTCTGACCATTTCTGTGAATGCCAGAAAAAATTACCACGTCAATTCTCACTCAGGTATAGAGTACCATTATATTTACACACTTTGTTACAGTAATTTAACTTCACACACCGGAGTGATCCAGAGGCTTGTATTCGTGACATGGCACGGCCACAGTCCAAATACCTGGAGACACTCGGTGCAGGCGGATAGTTTCCTGGCGGGATGTTTTAATAATGCCACTCATAAATGCTCAGTCTGCTACCTGAGGTGTCGTTTCTAAAAATCAACTTCTGAAGTCTCTCCTGTGTTTTGGCAGAAACTCTTTTCTAAGTTCTGTTACGGAATACGTGTGGTCTCGCGTGACAATTTTAAACATTACTTTTCTGTGTTTCTTTCTGTAACAGAATCACCAACAAATTGTGCTTCTTGTTGTAGGTATCCGGTTATTAAGAATAGTGAAAGTAATCGATTTCTGCGTGTTTTATGGATGCTGTTTACATAACTGCTAGGATATTCCACCTAAAATGACAGACGTAAGTGAAGAAGCTGTCAGTGGCAACATCATGATCATCAGATGACGCTGACATTCTTTAGTGTAACTGGAGGTCAGGGAATTATATCTTGAAAGACGTCATACTCATCCACATCTTTTAATGAATTGCTTTGTAAAATAGATGACTGTCTTTTGGGATGCTGTGCTCTGTAGTCTGATAGAAACTGACTGCCTCCATCATCACGGCCGTCACAGCTGATAATGGAGGCAGTATGCACCTCTGAAGCACTGGTCAGTTTCTGTAAGACTAGATGGCGTAATATTCCAGATGACAGTTATCTTCATTCTTGCTACCTCAAAAACTTGAAACTTCGCCAAAAAGAAAATTAATTTTGCTCAGAGATTCGCATATTTAAAGTTTCAAGCTACATTCTTCTTCTTCTTCGCCTTCTTCTTCTTCTTCTTCTTCTTCGTCTTCTTCTTCTTCATCTTCTTTTTTTCTTCTTCTTCTAAAATATACCTAACATTAAAATATGAATTCAATAATAAATATGTTGTTGGCAGAATGTTGCATTAGCATAAATTGTACATTCACTTTTTCCTGCTCCACGAGACCTGATAACATTCTGTGACGTATTTCCAGTTGCCACATTCCAATAAGGAAAAAGAAAGTCGTAATTTGTGTTATGTATGAATACGATCACGTGAACTTAACACCAACTTTTTTTTAAGACCTGCCGGGAGAAAAGTCCCAGGTAACGCGATGACAATTTTTAACTCAGTCGCAAACAGTTCTGGAGTTATCAGTAACTTTCTTATAACAGAAGACTGGTTATGAATTATAGGATTTGCGACTTTCGCGGCGAGTACAATCAATAAAATCTTCTCTGGCAATCAGCCGCGTTAGTTGGTTACCGTAGTAAACCGACGTTTCGGGAACAAACTCTGTCCCCAACTTCAGGGTTCTGGCAGGCAGTTACACAGTGACTTCTGAGGATCCAGTCACATCAGAACCCTGAAGATGGGGACAGAGTTCCCGAAACGTCGGTTTACTACGGTAACCAACTAACGCGGCTGATTGCCCGAGAGGATTTTATTGGTTATGAATTGTCAGCAGCGAACAAGGAGTTCGAGAGAAGTGGGGATCATTAAAAAGGGACTGAGAGGTAATCGTGGGTCTCAGACGTAAGAAGAGTTTGTTTCTGTGGTCGCTCGCTGCTCACGTGTGCGCGCGATCCAGGAGCTCGGTCTATCTGATGCTGTGTAGTGGTTTGAGAGTAGTTTAGTTCTTAGATACGAGCGAAAGAGGTTCAGTCGATGAAACAAAATAGGGTGAAGGGAAAAAAGGCAATACTGGTCACGCATCCAGCCCACAGAACTGAAACTGCCCCGAATATAAAGATCCATTGTAAGTATATTTGTGAATATTGTTACTACACAAGTTGTAATCATGATATTTTAATATTATTGTAAATATGTGTCATTTTATACAGAAAAAATATACCACATGCTTGCCATATGATAAAATTATAATAAATTTCTTTCATATACTGACGTGTTAATTTTAATAGAGAAACACTGCCCTGTTGAATGGTTAGCACTCCTGACTCGTACTGAATTTTTCCCCTAACTGCCTTTCCTTCAATGCAATCAAAATGCCCAGCATATGCCTGTATTGCAACCATAGCTTTGAAAATAATCCAGTTCTCATAATTTATAAATAAATATTGGCCTATGCCTTCATTTGTACAAAACAATTTCATATTCTGCTCAGTACAAAATTAAATATTCCCATTTTCCATTACATCCAAATCACGAGGTCATCTTCATAATGCAGTATAATTTTAATTTCTGCAGATGTTAATTACCTTATAATTACAAATACTGCAACATATATGGAAGGAAATGCATTTAAATGTAAATGTCGTGGCCTAAATAAATATACTATCCCACTATTTGAATGGAGGGTACTACGGAATACGAGCGATAAACGCCCAGTGTCAACCGTGACCCTCAACAGGTCAACTAAAACGATGGCTGATTTCGACGATCGCCAAGGAGCGGCGCTACAACCCAGAAAACAGCCATCTTTGAACACACCGCCTTGAAAACCAAAAATGCTACTTCGGTCTAATGAAATTGGCTAATATTTTCAATTGATTGCTTAGGCCAACTTCTTGGCTCGAAGTTTGCCTTGGGTCTAATATTGCAAAGGTAATGTATTGATGATAGCGCTGCTGATACAAAGTGAACAATGGAATTCAAGACGGCCCAGGGCTGGAGACTGGATGCCTCTGCCTGTGACCTCGTTTGTCTGATCGAGCCTGATAGAAATGGGAACTTATATCAATCTGCACTGTGGGTGGCCTCGCCATCCTTCATCATAATTCACTGCAAGCAAAATATTATGTACTCTCTACTTCGCACTTTTTGTTGAGGCGCACTCAAACACTCAAATTATGTATTTTTAGCCCACGCTATTTATTTTATCTCGAATGTCCGTCTCGATTACTACTCAACCAACTGATGTTACTCAACGTATGTATCATGAACAGGTCACCACAGGCCGCTACTCTTGTAACTTCTTAATTTCTGTCATCAGTAATACTAACATGGCGGCTTCGCAAACTTCGGAAGCAGCAGCCACACAAACACTATTTAATGGTATGACATGTTGTGTGGTAATGTAAAATAACAACACGGCGGCTACGCGAAACCTGTTTATGTCTCGATTTGACGGTAACAGTGAAAAACCATTTCGAGCTGTGGGTGTAAAATTTTATAAGACATGTATGATACCTTTGATGTTATATTTGACAGTTCTACGGTACAGGCAGAAACAGGTCACTCTAATTTATAATTACAAGCAATCTTACTGATATAGCTAGACATTTAAAGGAAATTAGTCGTTGCAAAGTTCCTTTTGTGACTTGTAGTTGTTTTCAGTAGTCCATTTATTTTTACGATTCCTATTTTTGAAAGAAGACGACGTCCGTAACAAGGTTCGGAGACAATCAGGTCCGCACCTAAGAAGCCTGAAGCTAAATATAACTTACCACTCACAGTAACAAAGACAATCCCTTCTTTCTGGTGGTTCACGAGTTGTGCGTTCGTAATTTCGTGTCATTTAGTCCTATATTATTCCAAGTAAAACTTAGAAGACGTCACTGCCTATTCAGTTTCAATTAAGATCACTCATTCAAACATTAATATTTAAATAATAGGCTTTCATTTCCACTCAATACATTTTTTAACCTCCGATAAAGAAGCAACGTCGTTGCTGCCAGTGTTTTTTCCTTTGTCCCTATGGTAACCATAATTCATGATTAGGTACTGTCACGCAAGATCGAAGGACTATATTGTGTATTGTTCTACGACGCGGAGTTCTGGTTTGTCCAGTTCTATATAAGAATCCACTATAATCAACTGTATTTTGTGAAAAATCATCGAGTAGATGCTCCATGCAGGCTGACTGAAAGCAGAAAGAATTCCTACACCTATGCTCCGGGGCGTGAGTCAAGGTTGGAAGGTTGCCTCCATTTCGTTCTCATGGTGCGGAATATAGCTAAAGCGCGCGTTCATCTGCTTCCATCACGCAAGCCCAGTCAGTCAATTTAGCATAAAAATACATGACATGTCACTCAAGTATATACAAAGGTAGTTCTTAGTAACCGACCAATCCGAATGAACCCACCTATTGTTTTAACAACCACATTTCTTTTTCTTCATATAATTGCCCATCACGAGTCCTAAAGTGCCTAAATCTCTCGTGTGATGGCAGCACTTCCTTGTGTAAATGAATACTACCTAATACGACGTATGTCGATTGTCTGCTGTGGTGGTATGTCCTCTTATTGAAAGCAAGATATCGAAACCGCTTCGCTAATACATTGATGTCGAACATAAACCGTGTCAGTTCATCTTTTAATTTCCTCGTGTTGGCAACACTGATATCCAATACTCTGTGATGAAACTCATATGTTGTTAATGGTTGGAGAAGGCAACACAATTTTAGGTTATACAATGATATTGTTATTGGTTGGTTAACTTCTGAAAATTGTGTAGATTTGTAATGGCCAAACATATCGCACAAATCATTATACTTGGAGCTCAAGTTGTTGGACGTGCTTTCGCAAGAGCATTACGTCAAGAATTTGCAGCAAGTCAGGAAGCGGCAAGACGTGGTGGTGGTGGAGAGAAAGGAGCTAGTCGAGCTGCAGCTAATGCAAGAACTGGCATTACTATAGAAGAAGCACTGCAAATACTTAACGTTGAAAAACTGGACCCTGAACAAATAAAGAAAAATTATGAATGTCTTTTTAATGCTAACGACAAAGCAAAAGGCGGGTCCTTTTATCTACAATCAAAGGTTGTTCGAGCTAAGGAAAGACTGGATCAGGAGTTACAATCAAGAACAGAGACGGAACCTTCATCGTAGTATATAATAATTACGAATGTTGAACTTGTGTATACTGACAGTAGTTCCAGATGTAGCACAAAACTGTGTTATATTTATGTGAAAATGTGATTATGTAATTTATGGTGTATATATAGTTGGTTCCATTACTAACATCTGTTGTTCAGAATTATAATATAATGAACTAGCTAGAAGACTTTTTCCTTCTTTTCAGGCTAATGGGGAATAACTGTTTCAAGGTGTACTCTTGTGAACACATTGTATATGAACCCTACTTTTTTTTCTACTAATGGAAACAAGGAAGTATGTCCATTACTACCCAGTGTTACTGAACTGACATTTTACTCATAATAACCTACACAAATGCTCTAACCAAACTCCAGTGAATTCAGTCACTAGTAGTAATGTGGTTCATTTAGTAATCCACCTACTGATGCACTGTTATAAAAATCTTTTGACAAAGGATAATCCATGGGCATGTTAGAGAAAATGCTGACCATGATAAAATAATTTCTTTCAAAGGAGTGAGTGGAGACTGCTGTTATTATATAGCTGGTTCTTAAACAAAATGGGAATTGAGGATTAGATACTATAATGAACATTTACCATTTGTCATATAATATCCAGTCTTTATACTTCCAACACATGGCTGCATACACATACAATTGCTAAGCATAAAGTGCAAGAAACTGGAATTAATATAAAGCTTATCAGTCCAGATCTTACATGCTACACGAGGTAAACAGTTGAACAATGAACAGTTTGCGGGGTCTGCCTGTAAATTTTTGATGTCACTATACTGTGGTATAGTATAGCGAAATATGGTGTATGGTGTATGCCAAGACCACAACAGGCTGCTTTAATAATGCAATAAGAAACATACATGTAGGACCATAGGAAAACACAAATTATGTTTGTTGCTGTTATGATAATATATGGAATTAGTCTAATGAGAAAAAATGGCACATTCTTATAGAACATAGGTCTTTACATGAGTGCCATGGAGGACACCAGTGCTCACTACATGACATTCATCTAAATACCATAGGAGGCACCTGTTTCTGCTCTTAAATAAGTGAGTATGTTTTCACTCCACTGCCACATGTCTTCCATGCTTGTGTTTTCACCATGGCCTGCATAACAATTGTAAGTTTCATTATTGAGTAAAAGGGCTCAAATTATCAGTACACTGTACTTAACTGATTTCTTGCTCTTAATACTGACAAATTAATACTGATGCTACTGAATTAAGGCTTTTATCTCAAATTATTGCCATCTCCAAATATCCCAATAATGTTTTGAAAACATACTACATATAATCACAAGTACTTTGTTACATAAATTCCTAACCACCAACTCCCAAAAAATGCAATGTAAATAAGGCAAGATCTGCAAAGGAGAGGTTCACACCATTCTGAAAAGTTGAGTTTAGGCCATAGCAGTCACCAGTATCTGCTGTAGACAGATGTCTTCTAACCACTCAGCTACTGATATATTGGGGGAAGGGTGGGGGGAAAATAACTGTTTAGAACCAACCTACACTATAAGAACGGTTTTAGCACAAATGAAGATTATTCAGAATTCAGTGTGGCAATTGAATTGTTGTGATATTAAAATGCACGCAAGCCCTAAATAGATACACAACTGTGAATCTGAGCATAGCAACGGCCATAAATCACATCAGACTAATTCTGGAATAAAGTATTTGGAATATATCACAGACACATTTCTTCATGTCACTGAAGGAGTACACACAATTATAATATCACGACAGCGTTCATCAATTTGAAACCAGAGATATACAGCCATTTGGGCCTGCCTCTTATTTCTAGCACTATTTAACTTTTACACTGAATTTGTTATGGTTATGAACTAAGATTATACTTTGATGTATATACACACACACAGGGCTATAAATGCACCAGGGTGGTCAAGCATGACGTGCAGGCAACCATAATTCTTAAAGCTCCATACACACACATGAATGTACATGACTTAAGCACTCGGACTTCCACACTGCATGTGTGCATGAAATATGACACCTGTAAGTAAGCAGTGTTTAAGATGACTTTACACTAGAATAACACGTTTATCTCTGATTTCAAAACATTTACTTAACAGAAAAATCCATCTATAACCAACAACTTGTGACCACAGACAAGAAATTTATATATGCTTAAACAGGCAGAGAAGTGAGCAACATTTGATAAAATATTCATGCATGCCTAGTGTAGGTATCATGTATCAAATGCTACATTAAAACACACACACTTTTGACACAAAGTTTAGGTTACAAATACCAACACATCAAACTGTATTATGTTACAAACATTTCAAGAATTCATATTTTATGAAACACCTTGGTAATAGAGCCACATTAAATTCTTGTGCTCATCAGGCAAAATATACGAATTCTAAAATAAAGGATATCCAAATATTTTTGATGACTCACACACATTATTATATTGAAGTATTAATTGGTCCAAGTACCATAAAAGAGCATTAATCAAGAAAATGTTTCAGTCTCATTCCTCACTTAACTCAGTAAAAACAGTACTGCATTCTACAATCCATTCACATCTATCAGTGTTCTGTTTCATCAGCTGCCATTTTCTATCCATATATACTGGAAAGTGAGTTTCTGATGTCCATACACATAGTTTGGTGATATGGTATTGTGAGCAAATAATTTCATGGGCTAGAACTTTATAATCACAACTTCAAGAGATCTAATGGAATGCATATATGGAAGGAAAGTTTCCCATCATTCTGTCTTGGATGTACCACATAAAAATGCAGTATGTTCTAACAGACCACTGTCCCTTACTGTGTATATGTGGCACCAAAAAGCCCATCTTGGGTATTCATAATCTGCAGATAACTTTTAAGGCTATTTATCACAATTAGGTTAGTACAGCTGTTCCTCAATGTCTTTGCCATGATGTATATTAAAAGACAGACAGAGCATCAGCTAGCTCAGAAGACAGATGGGTTGTCTGCCAAGCATAAGCTAATAAAAAAACCTTGTGGTGCAAATGTCACTCTGTTGTGACATCAGTCATTTCAGGTTAAGCCACAGATCTGAGCAGATTATTTAAATACTTGCATTATCAGAAGAGATATAGTACTCTTTCCATCATATGAGTACATCTACTTTGTAACCAACCCCAATCACAGATCACTGTTAGCAATTTGTCCTGTTGTCAGAGCTCCTGTCAACTATTACCCTGCACATCTGTACTTTATATATTCACATCTTCTACCCTCAGAATTTCTAAAATGCTCAACAAAGAAATTCTTCAACTGTATCTTCCCCATGAGGTGCCACATAATATATAATCTGCCAGCTCTAATTTCTGAGGAATGTTTTGAAAGTTTTTTTAGTCACACTAAAATTTCAACAATAAGTTACTTTAATAACAGATTAACTATTTAAAATTTTCTAAATTCTTATTTTATTACAATGCTTCAGTTTTATGTTTAACTTTCAACTGCTGTACTGGTCTTTTCCCATATGTAAGGCCTAAATGCTTATGTTAATTGAGCTTTTTATACTGGTAAAGGCAACAGAGTGTCTCTAACTTGACAGAGCAGAGGCCTTTTAAAGCTGATACATATTATGCTTTGCTGGTCAAGAAATTCCCTGCCTTTTAATGGAATCTAAAGGTTCACTACCATGTTCACAAGAACCCAGTGACCCCTATCATGAGCCACATGAATCTAATCCACACCCTCCCACCCTATTGCATTTAGATCCATTTTAATATAATCCTCCCATGTATGCCTAGATCTTCTGAATAGTCACTTCATTTCAGGCATTCTAACCAAAGTTTTGTTCACATTTCTCATGTTCCCATGCTGCACCCATCAAATTCTCCTTTCTGATTTTATCATCCTAATATCTGAAAATTATGGAATAGTTCCTTAAAATGGGTCATAACTAGCATCTCTCATCTACTGAACTTTAATCTACAGTATTTATTTTCCACAATATTAATTAAAATATGAATTGTCATTGCCAAAAAGTCATAGCAAAATTTTGGTATACTGACTATATAAAAATCCTGAATAATCAATAGCTTATGTTCTATTTTAAGTCAGACTAATTTCCTCCTGAAGTTGAAGCTCATCTAAATAATAAACACAGTCCCTACCTCAAAGAAGACAATGCACCTCCATTACAAAGATCAGGTGGTCAATGCTGTTAGGGGAATAACTGATTCTTATTCTGATTCATATGACATCTATATCTAAATTGTAGGGGAAAATGCACAGTTACTGATCACTAATGTAAGTGGTACACGTAGTTACCACAGTTCTTTAAAGGGTTAAATGGGTAAGATTACTTGAAGGTCATGGAGTAAATTTTTAATATAAAATCGGCTAACATACTGTTTTTGAAGACATCAATAGAACAGGCATATAATTACTCTATACAGGCCCCAGAACATGGATAGCCCTTTTTCCGTAACTATAACATGTTACATTAAATGTGTGCTCCTTGCACTTACAAAGGTTTTATTTAATTCTGCCTTCCTAACATTTTATATCTCATCAAGCTTTATTCTCTTATAAATAAAGTAAACAAACCTATAAATGCAATTTCAAAGAAGCTTGTGTATTATATACTTATTTTGTCCAAGAATATGTGAAATTATGTTCTTACTGTTGATGTATTAATTGCATGATTCCACATGCCAAAACTAGGTGTAACAATTTCAAAACCTCATTCACATACTGTACTTGAAAAGGAAAGTATTCATTTAAGAAATACCACTCTACAGGACATGTAATACTCAGGCATGAGATAATCTGTTTGATAAAATACTATTATGTACAATTACAAATACAGCTAAAACCTGTTTGGAATGTTTAAACATAAAGGTGTGTTAAATAATATATAAATGTTGGCTAGTTTAATATAAATGAATTATGCCATGACAAGTGACCTTGATATCTGCTGCATAGTAATTGATGCATTACTGACAGTAGAATACTTCAGTATTTAAATGACCAATATGTAATTCTCTAAAAATAATGCACTGAACAACACCGGCTTCCGTCCAACTATAGTCAGGGCTGGAAATGGGCACAGATGCCATTTACTCATTTCTAGAATGCCTTCTTACACATGCTTGCATGACACTATATAGCCTGAGCTACTGAGAAAGCATCATAAAAAAACTACAACTAAATAAAATACATGTGTTTGCAACTAAAAGTTTCAAAAAGGTGCCTATTATCTTCGCTCTGCCCATCAAGAACACCTAAACAGATGTTCATGAAACTGATAATTGAGAGTTTTATTAAAATTTATCAACCCATTCCAATTTTGGTTAAGATCAAATAACTACAATGGGCACATTGTGTATTATGTTGACTATATGCATTTTTGCTCATAAGAGGGACTGGTTGAATATCCTCAACTATCCATTTCTGTGATGATGTTATCACCAAGACCACACAAAAATCATTGAGCCCAGGCAAGTCTAATGTTACTGGTGTCATTCACAAAGGTCAAATTCTGGAAAATGCAACAGAATTATAATGCTATGTGTACACTTTCTAACTTACTGAACAAAAGTATTCCTCTTGTTTTAAGATGTCATATCTGTTGATGTTTAAAGGTTCTGGTAATGGTGCAATACATTGTGTATTAATTTGTGGGACTAAATTATACTGAATGCCATAATTACTGTTCCCAACAATGATGCATATAGGAAAAAAATTCTGAATATGCTTTGTAGTAACTTCTTTATAATATACACTGGTCATTCCCTGAATTTTCTACTGAACTGGATCATCTACCTTTTACAGGAGTGTCTTTCCAGTTCTATGAAGCCATTTCCATCCCTGATAATAGCATGCACATGCCCACGCACACACACACAGAACCATAAGAAATTTTAAGATTGTCATTGAAGGAGTCATAAATGAATTACAAATACAGAGGTCAAAATGGTCTCTATTATACTGTGTGTAACAGAGAAACAGAGGAAAACATGACCTTTGTTGCCTAGAAGGACCTATGAAAACTTACAGTAATCTTCACTGAGATTCAAATGAGTCCTGTTAAATAAAAGTCGAATACCTAATATCAGGACTTAACTGTAGCAGATCTTAAAGGAAATTTTGTCTAGTGATAAAGAGTCGGTACAATATCAGAGCACGCATATCCACTTTATTTTTGGATCTGCAATCCAAGACTTCAGGTAACCTAGAAATATACAAATTGCAAAACCACCTGCAAGGGCTCAAACTAAGGCACAATAAATTTTTTAGTGTTATGAACTTTCTCAATAAGGAAATAAAGGCAGAATCACACTTCATCTGATAAATTCTCCTTTCAATTTATTTATTTTTGCCTTGCATATTAGATAAGGTATTTGTTTATTTTCAAATTAATCCAAGAAAACTGTAATTACAACTTTCCAAATATGTATATACCGAACACTATCCTTTAAGGAACTGCATCATTAATTACTACCATCCTCAGTAAACAATGGGCAAACCAATTTTCAATTTCTAAACACAATAAATGGAAAAGATACCTTGTACAATGATAAGTTCCTTGTGTGTGTGTGAGACAAACATCTGCCATTTGAGAATATATGAATACAAAGAAATCTATAATTTAATATTGCAAAATATGCAAGAGGAAGTCACGTATTATGCAGTGGAGTTCTCAGAAGAAGACCTCTTTGGTTGATCTCCTTCCAATGAACTCTGAATATCTGTTAGAACTACTACTTCATATGGGGAGCAATCTTCATGTTTCAATGCAGCACATAACCAACCATAAAACCCCTTCTCTAAATCTGTAATCTCTTTGTACCAACTGTCAAAAAACCAGGAAATCTGTACTATTCCAGCATAAAGGCCAAGACCTATAGTAAAAATTAAAATAAGAAATGGATAAAGAAGAATAAGAAATGGGGTCACGAGGATTCTGCACAAAATAGGCTTTTCTTCAGTGTAATATGTGAAAACATTGTACCATGTGATTGTTCCCATATAGAAGGAGTAGACGCAAGATATTGCAATGACAAAAGGGAGACACAAAACTGTCCATATGGTAATGTGTGGCCCTTTCCTTTGACCACAAGTGAACCAAGAACTAGGTGAAGTTGAAGTATGGCATTTGGCTGCAATAACAGCCTCCAGAACCTCCAATTCTTCACGAGACATATTCAACCGCACATCCACACTTTGGCCAGCTTTCTTCCCACGTTTAATGGTGCCTGTCATGGTGAGGCAGCCATCTGTGCTTCCACTCACACCAGAGTTATCAGCCACTGAATCAGATGTCTCTGAACCTCGTCTAAGTGCCATTGTTTCGACATTACTTGAAGCATCTTCTTCTTCTAAATCCTCACGATCAGTGCAAATATTCACCTTCTTCTTGGCTTTAGCTTTCTTAGTTTCCACTGTCTCATGGATAAGATCCATATCAAGGCTTTGTTCACTCTGACTTAAACTGGTGTTTGTGCTTGCTTGCTCTGGATGATGCAATGCTGTTGCTGATGATGAATTAAGAATACCCGACACATGTCCATTTTCAATCATAGGTGAGGGATCTGATAGTTTCTTACCATTTATGTCACAGCTGTTGGGAATACTATGAATATCTGTCTCCAGAGCAATGCCAATATCCACTGTTCCATTGCCATTAACATTATTTGTTTTGGATGACAAACTGCTTTCTGATGGATTCTGAGCCTTGATCTTCACACAGAAACAAAAACAGTAAATAACTGAGAGATATGATAAATAGTACACAGTAACTTCCATAAACTGTTGCTTTAGACTATTTACCACAACAATTATTTTGACTCAGGCACTAAGTTTCATGCCAGGAAACATTCCTTAATTTTGACAAACTGACTGGCCTGACAGGATTTTATAACATTCACATGCTGTGAAAGATTTAAATCTTATGATATTCCATTTCAACTTATGTGGTTACTTTATCAGTACTTTCTAGTTCGATAACTGCATTTATGTTGTGCCACATGACTGGTAACAGTTTTTGATAACTGTTAAACAAAACATACAACACTGAGAATGTACAATACACAACTCTAACCTGAACTGTCATGATATGGTCAGCATGAGTACTTGCAGTAAACCGCTTTCCAGAAGTCCTTTTTTTAGGAGGCATAAAAACTGGTTTCTCTTGTACTTCCATTATGCCTTAAACAGTATTTGTTGAAAGGATGTTAACAGATTTTATAATATTATAACCAAGATAAGCAATAAACTATTATTTACTCTTCAAATAAAATGTATCAGTACTATGTTCTTATTTGTTTCAGGCACAGAATAAATAGACTAGGGGGCATTATGTAACGAGGAATTTCATGGTCTTTACAGCTTACCTACTATTGTTATGTTAGTTAAATCAAGGAGGAATGGGCTTTGGATGTACTTCAGATGAGGGAAACAAGAAATTACCACAAAATGCAATGACATTGAAACTTCTTCATAAAGAGCTACTTACAAAACAAATGGGCCTGGATGTTTGAACAAAGAAGGCTGTGCAGATGTAAACTGGATTAATTATTAGATTATGCAGATTTTGAAGGTTGAACAGACATAGTTTAGCTTGTTTCAGAATTTCCAGTATTACAAATAACCAACATGATACCTAAGGATTAATTCACAGGTTTAGTGCTAGTTCCCTCCAACTTGGAGATAATCAAATTTCTAAACTATAAGTCTGGCAAACATTTGATGCTATAGAAACACCACTACAAAGTAGGGCCACATTATACCCCTTCCTGCAGTTTCACCCATTTTTTTCACTATAAGCAACTTCTTCCTCTCAGCTTAATTTAATACATCCACATAAAAACCATAGTATCAGATAAGGGTCGGGTACGTTCAAGGCTTTGTGTTAGGTCTAATAATTTTAAGTAAAACCCAAATTCAATACCAGTTTAAGCAGGTCAGTAGGATAACGGTTTAATTATTCCTGACCAACAGTAACTCCGATGAAATGGGCATTTTTTGGGAACAAAGTGGTCCGTTATTTTTCAACCCGAATCTTCTACAATTTATTATAAGTATGTATCAAAGTATACATTACATAATACGATCTAGTACACTACAGAATGGCCATACCTTCAACATTTTTCACTCCAACATTTTACATTAAAATCTGTTTTGACAGCTGGAACTTCATGTGTCACTTCCCGTTATAACTATCGTAGAACGTGTCTTGAATAAAATTTTTGCAACTCGCTTTAATAATCCCATCGGAATGTGAATGCTATTCCTTATATTTGATATTACATAAAATACTCCAAAACAAAACTCCACAATCTTTAATAAACTCAACAAAAAATGCTTGTTAGCATCCTAGAATCATGTATTTACCTTTTTTTTTTATCCTATCGTTTAACCACTTTTATTATGACATCTATCGTGTAGTCAAAGTAATAAAGGCGTGAGCAGTGGTAACGGTGTTCAATCGATAAAAAGGTGAGATGTATTCGTCTAATATGTTGGTAACCACCTACAAGACCTCACAATGTCACATTCCAAAGACCACATTCACCTGGTTAACTAATATCCAACCTATATGTAATGTCTACCCCATAAATCTAAATAAAACACCAACGAATAATTTTGGTACCCCAGTATTGCACAAGAATTAACTTTGCACCTAAATTAAAGTGGGTGTATACTCCAATCTTGAACATACAATATATGAATGAGGTGATATACATTAAAATTCTAATACCAGAAAAATATTTACAAGTGACAGGACTAGGAATGCTCTCTAATAAATATGCAATGATGCCTCTGAAGACTACTTGGAAACTTGAAAGATTTATTACGTATACTATAGAAATGCACATAATTCACATTACAGATACAAAGATGACTTAAGATTATCCTGATGCAGGAATATGGCAACTCTGCATTGTGTATGTGATTTACACACTCATGTCTCTTTAGTTGACTCTCCCAATTGAGTAACTTATTACACACACCACAGGAAAATGGTTCAACCCTAGTATGTATGACCAGATGTTGCTTCGAATAACTCTTCCAACTGAATGATCTATAACACACACAACACGTATATGGCTTATCCAGTATGTGTGTATGGATGTATCATCAAAAAACTCCTCTGATTAATGATTTATTATACATTATTGCGCCTATCAGCTCTCAACCAACAATTATTTCTGCAGTGAATCTGATATATTCACAAACTTCCTGTACTTAATCTTGGATTTCACTAAGCCTTTTTCTGCAGGTGAGGATCATGTTTCCCAGACATACCAAATGTACAATTAAGATCATCACAATATCCTCCATAAACTCCAAACCTTCACAACATAAGTATTATATTATGATATTATATAAATCCATGCATGAACATGAGTGTATCTCTCTGAGGGCAGCACTAAATGCAATCTGTGAGATGCTGCATGAACATAGCGTACATAGTGCTATCTTTTACTGGAAATGTGTAAGTAGCTGCAAATACCATATCAGTTATTTTCTGAGAACTTTCTCACAAGTAATTTAACAGGTATAGTTGGCATTTGTGATCGACGGGGGAAAGATGACAATGCACTAGTGCTAGAACGCCGAACAAATTTAACACTACTCCGAAAATGTGAATTACTAAGTTCATCGGCGTTTGGACTCTTCCTGTTGGAAATCAAATTTACTGAACTAGTTGATGGTTTGCATGAGGATAATATTATATTTAGTGCTTTGTTAGGTGGAATGGACTGCTTCATAATCCTTTCAGATGAAGAATTCTGTTCTTTCTTCATGTCACTCATACTTAGCTCTTGATTGTTTAAAAGTAGCAGTGACGAGGCAGGAGCTTCAGAGGATGTACTTCCCTCTGTCATAAGATAAGACTGGAATGAAGAAGCTCTGGTAAGATTTGGTTGAGCAACATAAAACTGGAATGAAGGTGGTCTGATCAGATGTGGTTGCACAACAGAAGACTCTGTAGAAGATTCAGTTACATTAACACTTGAACTTGATGGTGTTGCATCTGTTTCATCAGTACTTGTCTTTGGAAACTTTACCCAGTTTGGTGGTCTGAATGGAATAGCAGTTGTGACATGAGCTGTTCTTGCAACTTCTGGTGTGTGTTCAATGGTTCCAAGATTTTTTGAAAGTAGCAGTGACGAGGTAGGAGCTTCAGAGGATGTACTTCCCTCTGTCATAAGATTAGACTGGATTGAAGAAGCTCTGGTCAGATTTGGTCGAGCAACATAAGACTGTAATGAAGGTGGTCTGATCAGATGTGGTTGCACAACGGAAGACTCTGTAGAAGATTCAGTTACATTAACACTTGAACTTGATGGTGTTGCATCTGTTTCATCAGTACTTGTCTTTGGAAACTTTACCCAGTTTGGTGGTCTGAATGGAATAGCAGTTGTCACATGAGTTGTTCTTGCAACTTCAGGAGTGTGTTCAATGGTTCCAAGAACTACTGAATCTATATTTAATGATGGTAGCATCTGGAAAGAAGCAGCCGTGTCTGTATCTTTCATTAATGACTGTTCTGATAAAGGTTCAGTAGACTTTATGTCATGACTTTCAAGCCTGTAGAAGTCAGATGGACGGCGTAGTGCAACACCATGTTGAAATGAGGTATCTGTTAGTTTAACCAGATTTACAGACTTAAGTGGTACAGAAAGACCTGTTTGTTTCACAGTATCACATCTGGTTGTATTTTCTTTGAATGCAGATGAGGAAATTGTAGGTGACTGTGAATGTGAGCATGCTGTTAACTTACATGAAACCTGGGTATTATCATTTGATTTGAATTCTAATGATTGTTTCACAGATGACTGGGACTGAGGTTCTAGACTGGATATTTCATGATTCAGCAGTTCAGATGTGAATCTTTGAATAAGTTCACTGATTGGCGTACCAGAACGTGACTTCTCATGTTTATGAGGTAATGCATTTTCATCATCTAACGAAGTGGATGAAGTAGATGTGGTAGAACATAATGTAGTAGCATCATCAGAGAATAAATCTTTTACTGCTTTTGGGGTAGGTGGTAGTGCCTGCGTATGATTAAACTTTGCTCTCTTTTCAAGGAACTGTTGTCTGTATTGGCGATGAACATCTGTCCTTTCCAGTGATTCTGTCAAATCAAGGGAATGTGTATGGTGATGTTCCAGTCTGGCTGGATTCAACTAGAAATAAAAATGCAGTCCATAAAACTTAACCATAAACAAACTTCTATATACCCTCATTCAATCAATTATATTTCATTAATATAAATTTAAATAATTAAAGTACTCACATTCTGACTCATTTCTGCAGTGTTGTTATTTTTCTCCTATTCAAATGCTTGGTTCCAAAACGAACTTTGGCTTATCTGTAGTTCTCTGAAAAGAATTGTTTTATGTGCAATAAGAACATGTGATAACTACTTTCCTTCAAATATATAAAGCAAGTAAACCACGCATAAATCAAGAAGAGAACATCTGTAATAAAAAAATAAAAAATGTAGTTCCTTAGGGAAGATATTCTGTAATCAGTTCCCAATCAGCTTATACAGTAACAAGGATCTAATCATACTGGGTAAGGCATGGTGAACAGCTACTTCATATATTTCTTCCCAAAACAGGAATGCTACATTTAAGAGTCCAAAATGAGGCAAAGATATGAAATTGATAATCTAGTAGGCAGAAACAGGTAAATTCATTACTACTACTAAGCTATGATCTCACATTATGAGACCGAGTTATGACAACAGTTAATGAATTGGGCAATGGTGGCAACACTACTTTGAGGATAAGAAAATTACAATACTGTTCAGGACTAATTCAGATAAATCTCTTTTAGTCATTCCAACAGTAAACAGTCTTTTGGCACTATAAACAGTGTTATCCTAAACACCCTAGAGTAAGTGTTTCTTGTACAGCTCCCACATCAGAAGTTTGTGCAACTACCTCATTAATATTATAGATGGTGGGAAGGCCTATTTGAAATAGAAGTGGTGCAAATATTCACATACCTGGGAGTATGCATAACAAATAAGAATGAGGAAATGGTAAAAATACAAAGCAGAATTCAAGCGGCCAATAAAGCATATTTCTCGATATTACCACTGATAAAATTCCATGGAATAAATAAGAAATTAAAAATCACATTATATAAAACTCTCATCTGTAGCATAACGACATACGGGGGTGAAACATGGGCACTCAACCAGAATGCAGCAGATAAAGTGGATTTGTTTGAACGGAAAATCCTGAGGAAAATTTTCGGCCCAACACAAGAAACAGGCGAATGGAGGATAAAAACTAATCAGGAAATCTATAAATTATATAAAGACATATTATTGTCACAATTTATAAAAATCAAGAGACTACAATGGGCAGGTCACCTGATTCGGATGGATGACATCCGAATTCCAGAGATGGTATTCAAAGGAAGTGTTGGAGGAAGAAGACCAGTTGGAAGACCCAGGAACAGATGGGAGGATGCATTTCAAACGGATGCCACACTGCTCCTGAGGATTAGAAATTGGAAGAAGGCAGCAGAGGATAGGACCGAATGGAAGAGGAGAATTGAGGAGGCCACGGACCGAATACGGACCGGAGAGCCATAGAAGAAGAAGAAAGGAAGGCCTCTTAATTCATAATATTCATACCATGTTTCATGAAAATGTGTCAGATAGTTTAATAATTACTGTGAGGGGAGAAGGGAGACACACAGACATAAAAATACAACATATGTCTTTTTCCTTTGAAATATACAAAGTATATGAAAAAGTAGTAGCCTATATATAAATCATGTCAGTATGTGTGGCATACTGTATAATGCAACACCATACTGAAGTACATATGTAACATATTTATATATTGACATTATATTTAAATACATTTGCTGTGGGAAGACAAACTTTTATACATTATTAACATTGAATATACTCATTATCCTTTCTTACATACTACACTTTTACTAACATGTCAAATTTTATATTTACACTTATACTAATACCTTACCTTCAAACTTTACATTTATATAATATTAACAAATTGTTTCACATACTGCACTCTCGACACTTTTCCATTATGAACAAAATAAATCTTTCCTCATACTTCATAGGTACAAGTTCTCTCAATATCTTTCTTTACTCATCCTCATATCATATCCACTTCATAAACATTCATGATTAAATTTCATGTTTGACTATGAAGAATTATGTGATAAGATATGACCAACCTACTTCACTATGCAAACAGTTAAATCCGCTACTCAATTCATTACACTGGTGACTACTGATAAACTGTCAAGAACACATACCTTATTATCAAGGCAAAGTGTAGGCACAGAACATAAATGATATACCTGACACCTAGATTTCCAAGTAGAAGGTAAACAGAGTAAACATTAAACATTAACAACACCTTTAAGCTGCTGTTACTTCTGCAAAGTGAAGCCAGTTCATAACTGTTTTGATTCTTGTGAGAGATGGAGCAAGCTGAGCTGGACACGAAGGTGCAGGCACGCTTCACGCTCCTCCATAATGCGACGCACTAGATTAGATTTCTTTTGCTGCAACAAAACATAAAAAACAGAAATGAATACTTATTCATATTCTTTTCAACCTATTATTTAAGTAACTATATAATAGACTGTGTATGTTCAAAACATTAATTTAATCAAGACAATAATAGTAAAAGATAATTTATACATGGGAAATTGATGCTATGTAGTCTGAGCTACTGAAAAAGATTTGTTAAATAATCTACAAACAACCTAGGAAGATAAGACATTTAAAGTGGATGGTAGAATAAAGAATCTTGATTATAAAAAATAAACATTAGCATATGCAGCATAAAAACATAAAAGAAATGAAAAAAAGGAAATATACTGATCTAATATTGGAAATAAAAATGTGCAAAAACTGCATGAAATTAAAACTGTGCCAGTTTCAACAAACAAACTGATCCCAAAACACTCCTATGAAGTACCTGATATACTTCACAAAATGCAACAAACTGAACACCAACTGAAAATATGCCAATATAACAATAACAATTCGTGGCGTAACAGCCCTCTGAGAGCCAAAGCCAACTATCTGGCTGCTGGCCTCACATTCACATGCCTAAGCAGAGGTAAACGATCATCCAACCAGATATAGAGTGACGTGTGGTCAGCACGACGAACCCCCAGCCATTGCTAGTATTCATGACCGGATTACGCTACCCATTGTAGATCCCCAATTTCCTCACAATGCTGGGTTGACACTGGTCCCATACACCGGTCTAAAATCTCATGAGAAATTTCTTTCCCCGAGACTCAAACCAGGGCACATTCCGTATCACCGGTCTGAAGCATGATGCCTCAGACCGTGCGGCTAAGGCGCGGGGAAAATATGCCATATTATAGCAAATCATGTACTCATACTTTGACACTAATGCTGTATAATGAATATCAGGACAATCCTTTGACTGTATAAAATAATAAATTCCTGAAAAAATTAAATTATAGTGTGAGATATATTATAACATCTTATTATTTATGAGTACTTTTTTGTCCATAAGAAAAGAATGCAAGACGGCTAAAACTGAGACCTGCAATAACTGATTATCATGTTGCAGCTCTGCAATACGAGTGCCCAACTCTGGATCATCCACATCACTACCATCTGAGTGTGATGGTGAACTGCTGCCTTCTGAACTGTTTTCATCAAATCCCCTAAAACAAGCACACAAAAATTATATTCTAACCTATGACAGATGAGGTTTAAACATGATACAAAATGTTAATTCTTACCCTGCTCTGATATAGCAGTTGAATTTTTTACATTCACAGGTTGTCTAAACACAATATTCACAAGAAACAAGATTATCATGGAATGTTCCAGTAAATATGTTCATGGAAATATTTTCTGTACTGTTAGTCAGCTACATATGAATTTACCTTAAGATTTATATATTCTGCCTGATACGTGTGATTTACGTGTGGCTGTGTAGCACAAAGATCTACAGATAAGTAAGATTTGAGGTTTTCACAGCAGTGAGTATAAAGATTTCTGTCTTCTGGGTTGTTGCGCTGTGTAGTCTGGTAGATTTCCACCAACGTTTTAGAGGTCATACTGCCTCTGTCATCAGCGCAACAACCCAGAAGACAGAAATCTTCGAGTATATGGTTACTTCAGGAATCTGAACATAACATGTGACACAGAATGCTACATAACGAAGTTATACCATGAGCACATGGCAGTACAGCAAAAGTACAAAAAAGAATGTCATAACTAACTCCACGAAGCAGAGGACTTCTTAAGAAGCGAACAGTCATTCATTTCATCAAGAAACTCCATACCTTTTATGGCACTCAAAAGTTCATTACTGTGTTCACAAAAGCTCACCACCAGTCCCTATTCTGAACAAATTAATGTCATGAGTATGCAAAGAAGAAGCAGTTATCTGCAAATTCTTGAAGTTTCAGACAACAGTTATACCTTATAATTGAAAATTTTCAACACCAGATTGAGAAAAAAAATTTAATTGCAATCAAATTTTTGTTTTTTAGTCTGAAACTTAAAAAAATTGATTGCAGATGGACCTAACAGAGGACCGAATGGAAGAGGAGAATTGAGGAGGCCATGGACCGAATACGGACCGGAGAGCCATAGAAGAAGAAGAAGTTACTGTAGAGTAGGACTGTTATTACCTATAATTGTATTTGGATCTTGCAGTCTCCAGCTCTGCTCTCAACCTCTCTATCTCAATCCGTTCTTCTTGGACTCTTCCTTGCAGATCTGCCTGAAGGCTTAGCAATTCCTGATGCTCCAATAACAAAAGTTTCTCTTCCTGCAAAAGTCCTTGCAGCTCATCCTCATGTCCTGCAGGAATTTCCGTTGCAGATGCTTGCTCCAAGACCTCATTACCATCTACCTCATCACTAGAATCTTCAGCCTTGCTTGCTGAAGCAGTGGCAATGTCACCAGCAGTAGATGGATCATGGAACTGATCTTGTTGGACCTATGCAGTATCGCCAATAAATTAGATATGGTAGTGATATGAATGTTCATGAGTTAACTAACTAAATCCTTGGAGCAGAGTCCATCTTGAGTATCTCAACTTAACTAGTCAGGAAATTTTCTGTATTTTATAAAACCCAAAGATTCATTACAATGTTCACAAGAGCTCACCTCTTGTCCCTATCCTGAGCCAGTTCGATCCAATCCACACTTACAAACCCAATATCCCCAAGATCCATTTTAATATTATCCTCTCACCTATGTCTAGGTTGAGTGATCTCTCCCTTAAAGTCTTTTCAACTAATATTTTGTGCGCCTACATGGCGTATAGTGGGGCAGCTTTACTTTACTTTTTTAATGGTTCCCTGATTTATTTTCAAATATTAAGTTGTTAATAAGATAAAAAATCAAAGTCTAGGCAGGAAATTACATTTCCTGTTAACTAGTACCATTTTCAATTAAGACATGGGTCTATACTTTCATGTGCATATTATTCATACAGTAAATAAATGTAGAGAGAGAAAATAAGGAAATGTGGGAAGAGGATTTGAGGTTTTAACAGCAGTGAGTCTGAAGATTGCTGTCTTCTGGGTTACTGATGATGGAGGCAGTATGACTTCTGAAACATTGATGGAAATCTACCATACTACCTGGTGCAACAACCCAGAAGACAGCAATCTTCAAATGTGAGAGCATCATGAAATGGGAAAACAAAATTATTTGGATCAATGCACTGCTAGTCCGAGCTTTAGTTTACGTTTAATGGCAACAATGTACCTGTTGCTTTGGAATTTTGTCTGCTGTATCCTGTGGACTATCCACAGTATCACGCAAAGGCTGTTGCGGTTGCACTTCTTGCTGCTGCTGCTCTACAGCTGGTGCAGCTGATGCTAGAGGCATCACTACTCCTTGCGTTCCATCATCAGCTGCTGGTTTAATTTCTGTTGCAGTGACTGTACTCACTGCTTTGTCTTCTTCAGAATAGGAAGAAGCTTTTTGTAAAGTGAGGTCAATGCAGAATTCGTCATCATAGGGTTTGCAGCTATGTTCATCTTCCAAACTCTTCAGATTCTGACTCATCTCTTGAGCTCGTTGCACTGTTCTCAGTTTCCTCTGCAATGAAGTTATTTGAAAACATTCACATCATAGTAACAGGCTGATACTACATAACTCAGAACACTAACAACTCTATGAATTAGAGTCCTTCTTGAGAAGCTAATACTCATCAAATGTTCAGAATTTTTTTTTGTGTTTTATGGAATACAAAGGTTCATTACTATGTTCACAACAACCAACCACTAGTCTCTATTTGAGCCACTTTAATAATAGCATTTTCCAGTCTATTTCTAAGTCTTTCTAGTGGTCTCTTCCCTTCAGGTTTATGACCAAAATTTACAGTGGAAGAAAATCTTGTACTTGTTTATCTAATGTGATGTACATATTTACTGCATAAAGAATGTGACTGCTGGCAATCAGTAGTAATTTCCAACATTCCCCATTAAAAACACAAAATAAATTCACTACTCACTTTCATTAAATTAGCGATGAGCCTAGCAAGACAGACTGTTAACAATTATATGATCCCCCTTACTAATTCATAACAAGTCACAGAATTTTGGTAGTGAAACCTCCTAAATGACTGAGGAGATGAGATGATAACATTAACATGGATCTGGTAAGACAGGTTGTAAGGATGGTAGGCAGATGGTAGTTCAAGATCATGTCCAATGGCAGGCTTTGGTATTAGTAATGCTGAACCTACATTCTGCTCATGAAGCAAGTGAAAATCAGTTTCTTGTCTGCATTTAGGATATGGTTCCAGTACATAGTTCTGGCACATTCTATAAGATAAGAAATGCTGAGCTTACATGTGTGTGACTGCATATCTTTTTTAGCTGTTACTCATTGTAAAAGTAATTTCTTATAGTTATTTCTATAATACCTTGAGTTGGGTGATGATTCGTTGGACTTCCCACAATTGTTCTTCCTTACGTTTTGAGACAAAGCCAGCATTCATTTCCTTGTGAATTTGGTTAAGAAGTGACTCCTGCTTTCTAAGCTGATCAGCTATTCCAGTTGGAGTATCTGGGAGGGAAGGACTCCCTGCAGTTATTGGTGGTACATATCTCAAAAAGAAGGGAAGCAAACCAGATAGCATTATCAGCCCCATGATACAGCAGAGTACATGGCTACGTCAAGCACATAAATGCTATTGCCTTCTACAATGTATTGTTAGAATAACATTAATTTCCTGAGCAGAATTATAAAAACCAAAGACAAGAAAACTGAAACCTCCTGTAACTCTTGAAATAAATGCTTACAGAAGGAATGCAGACATATATAACATGTTTAGTATATGTTTAAGTACTGTGACCTCAACGAGCAAAACTTGGTTTTAAATAAATTAAATTGAAATATAGCAATGTTCAAGACTGGAACCTTACAATTATTTTTTTTTGCATAAATGTCTTTTTGAGTGGGTCATAAATGTACAGTATGAAATATTTTATTCTTTCTAATGCAGTGTAACAAACTTTAATTAATATGAAATTCACAAAACATTTATAAGTTATCTCATACTATGACTCAGTATGTAATATCACTAATTCATTGCTATCCCTGTTTAAAATACAAACCACAAATATATTTATGCACAAAAATTTTATAATATTCAACTTTCTAACCAGTAGTCGATACTCACCGAGCATGTTGTGTATAAATGTTATGTGCTGACTTGTATTTGGGATGTACCTAGTTTAAAACTTGGCCAGGGAACTAGCTGTCTTGACTGATATTTTCCGTGGTTTTCCTAAGGTGATTTAGGTTAATTTTTTGGATAATGCAATGAAATAAACCAGACCTGCTTCCTACTTAATCATCTTCAGGGCAGTGCCACTTTGCAGACAGAGATTCCACACAACACAAGAATGCATACCTGATCATTTTTATGGTCATGGAAACTGAAAAGACACTTATTATGAAATCAGCCAGCAGAAATCCATTCTTGGTTTTGTTATTCCCTTGAACAGATTCAATATAATCCGCAGATATTAGCAGGGCACAGACAAAACCATTAAGGGCACATCTGAAAGGCCTTCTAAACCAATTATTAAACCAAAATTTATTCTGTCACTGGACACAACAGAATATTTTAACAGATGAATAACTCATCTTAGTCTAGTAGAGTTTACCAACATTTCAGAGATCCTTGCTGCCTCCAATATCAGGGCAATGAGTACGTCACACATGTGGAATCAGTTTGATATATAGGAAGCTGTCAGTCAAGGCAGAGCCTTGGCCATACCAATGGGGAGTGGAGTCAGGATTGGGCAAGGGTCTGGGAGACAACAGGAGTGGGGACCATGCCACAGCCTGGTCGGCAAGAGGGGATCAGACACAAAAAAGAGAGAGAGACATCTGAGATAGCAGCCCTTATAAGGGCCCCTCAGGGTCTGGCAAGTGGATCACCGGACATATGAAAGCAGATTAGTTGCTGTCTGTAAAGTGCACAAATTCTTCTTCTATCTTTACATAGCACATGCATATTCTTACTTGTTCAGTTTCACGTCTGGGAAGAGGAAGTTACAGTGGCAGAGGAAAGCTGTAAGTAATCGATGACTCATCTGCATAGCTGGACTTAAAGTGATTGCAATACTTTGAGCATTCATTTTATTGTGTTTTTCCTGAAAAGGGGGGGAAAAATACCAATAAATTATTTCCAAATAGTGTTAGCAAAACTTATTTTGTGCTGTAAGAAATTCACAGTTTATATTTAAAATCAGGTTTCAACTTACTGTATCAAGGGTTTTGCATATGTACAATTTACAACTTCTTTCAAATGTAAATGGCACATGGCTCAAGATGAAAGACAGAGACACAGCATGCAACACCTTCCACTAAAAATATCTGAACATGTTAAGAAACTTATAAACTTTATATCCATTTCATAGTTTTCTTACATTAACTAATATGCCAAAAAACTTTACTATCTAACTTACATGCACAGTGATGTTCTCAAGATGTAGCATAAGCCAGGCCAGAAGCTGTCTGTTGCATGATGGCAGCTGCATTATAAGAGTCTGAAGCTCTGATTCTCTCACTGCCATTTCCTTCACAGCTCCAGCCTCTTCGAACCTTGCCAGAAACTCTGAAGTGAGTATGGGCTCTGGCAGCTCTCTGTGTTAATAGTGACAATGCACTGAACTTTCTACAGAACTCATTACATGTGTGGATGTTGGAGGTTCTAAACACTTCTCTCCCTTAAACCATACTACACACAGTATATGGTTTACAAACCTATGTGCTTAAGCCACAATGTAACAGCAATTACTATCCAATGAAAATACACTATAACATAAAGTTGAGATTTCTGGTTCTCATAGCATGAGTATGAAGATGACTGTCTTCTGGGATGATGTGCTGTGTAGTCTGGCAATGACAGAGGAAGGAAACACCTCTGAAATGCGGGTAAACTTCTACCAGACTACATAAGGCAACATCCTAGAAGATGGTCATCCAAGCCCCACTGTGTCATATGAAGAATTAAAACTACCCACGCAAATTTCCTTCACATCTATCCTGTAGAATATTACTATGAAAAGGGATAAAATTTTCCAATTAAAATGCTTGAATTCATAAAGTATATTAATGCTTCCATATCAATGTTCAATAATTATGAGAAGAAGAGAGTAAAATCTTATCATAAGAACACAAAGTTTACATTAGACAAAACAATGAGAGTCAAAGCTGTTACTACAATCAAAATCTCAAATTTATGATCCAATTAATGATTTAAAATTTACAGATCAAACTTTTTCTTGTAAGTAGTAATTAAGAAGTCCATGTGTAACCTTATTACAGCATATGTTTTGATAACTGTCCCTTAACTGAAACTGTTCTGTGTTCAAAGGACAGGAAAAAAGCCTAATATGGTAACTACATAGTAATTTGAAAGCAATCAAGAAAGGTAACCTGAGAAATTGTTTAAGAAGACTTGTGACAACAGGTAATTCAAAGTCTGACAATTGAACAGCTTCTCGAAGATTGTACAATCGCCTCAGATGTTGCACCTTGGACTTGATGCCTGATACTTTATATATACCTTCCATGTATAAGCCTGTGGAAAAAAGACATAAAATAATAAATGTATATAAAAATCACAGGATGCTTAAGAGGCATATACACAGATTTATAACAGTTCACATACCATGCTCTTGCACATAGTCGATGCAGTCACGTACAACAACAGGAATATCTACACCATCATGACAATGGCTTCTCTCAACGGCAAGTTCTAATGGCACACCAAAGACTGGCTGCTCATCTAGATGATCAAAAAAGGAAAACATTTCACTTGGTTCAAGACTTGACTCATAACCTTATTTTTGCATTTGTTTTAATTAACTCAGTATGAAGAGTAGAATTTGCACATACCAGGAAAATGAAAGATGGAAGGTGATTAAAACAAATATATCTTAATATCTAAAGAGTACTAAATCTTCTTATTATGGAAATAGAACTTCAGATTTCCATCTACTATATTATCATTGATGATGTTACTGTATGTTGAGGATAATGTTTCATACCTTGGTAACCATTAGTTCTGGGAGAGTGTAGCATATGTGGCTCGTAGTAATGATGGTGGAAGATTTTAAAACAAATGTAATTCCAGAAAGATAAGCAACCTGCAACTTGTAACTTACCTGCAACTTCTATAGAATCGTCCATGTGTTTTGATTTCTTCCGTTCCTTTAGTTTTAACCTAACTTTTCCTTCTTTTTCTTTTTTCTTTTCCTTCTCAACTTCTTTCTCTTTTTCTTTAGCATCTTTCTCTCTTGATTTTTCTCTCTTCTCTTTCTTGCTTGGAAACTTAAATGATTTGGACTTTTTTGATTTTGAAGGGCTCCTAAACATTCATAAATTTCATTACTAGAGCTATATATCAGGTTAAAATTGCTACATTATAAGCTGTATAATTTGGTGGTTGTAATAAACCAGTATTAATTCATTTTTCTAAACTTCAGGTTTCTTTCATTAAATAATTCACTCAAATTTTAAGAGCAGCTATTTGTAGAAGGGATAACATGATATGACTTGAACCATGTTATAAATTTAAGTCTGTGAATCCTAATGTACCTCTGACTTTTTGTTCAACATACCGATGTGTTGCCAAATGAATCTGATCCAATTGTTCAAAACTTCTTTTAAAAATATTATAAGCCTGCAGGAGACTACAATCCAATTTAAAAAATCACTTTTCATTTCAAGTAATACAAGCAGATCTAACTATGGAATAAGCTAATCCTACTTGAAAAAATCCATATATTCTCACTACCTCGTTGGGCTTTAATTTTCAGCATAAGGTCTTCACTGTACTTCTTGTTTCATATTCATATGTCATTCTATTTATATAAATAAAACATTATGACTTTGCATATAAGTAACCTACAAACTTGAATTTTAAGATAAAATCCTTCATATACTTATTGACATACTTGAACAGATTTCAATCATACTAACTTCGTTTCTGGATCTTCTTCAGGAGAACTCTCGCCTTCCAAAGTTGCATAACCCCTATCTTTCTTAGAATCCTTTTTGTCCTTACGTTTCCCAATGAGAAGGTCCTTTTTAGAAGGTCGATCATGAGCATCATCACTAACTATAGAATTAAAATGAAAAACCAAAGAATCAGAAAAAGAACTTTGTAGAGATTTATTAACATATAGATAATAGGAGATACAAAAGTGAAGTGCACCTGTAAGAATAGGTGTTGGAAGTGGAAAGTTATTCAGAAGATTCTGTGCTGAACTGGTATATATCTTCACCAACTAGATGAAATGAGTAGACACTTGTCTAAAAGCATATGGGGCCCACTTCCAACACTTGTAAATTGTAAACAATAAGTATGATCACCATGAGAAATGTGCTCTATCAGGTACACGAACCCTTCTGGATCACTCTATACAACTCACCATTAGGGGAAAGAATTCCAGATGCCAACACTAGAAAAAGGAAAACAATCTAAACCATCTTAAAAACAGCTGAGATCCGATTTCAATATTACATGTTTTCAGGAAAAGCATAGTCAAAGAAGCCCCTCTACCAATGCTTGTATAATTACTTCCTAAGTGTTTAGTTAAGAATAATATTACAATTATTGAGGTTATGTTTGATAAGATTCATTTACAGTTACCTCTCTTTGTGGTATTCTTAAAGAAAGTGTTGGTTGAAGTTACATAAATTCAATGTGACTTATCGCAAATTCTTCGAATTTAGGTTCATACCAAAAAACAATACGATATTAACTAATGCCATGCATAAATATGAAAATGACGTACAATCGCTTTCGTTGCTTTTTTTCCCAGATTCTGATGCATAAAGACCTGGGAAATCTTTTTCCACATCTGGACTTTCGAACTCCATTCTTTCAAAAACGTTTATACTTCTCTTTCGCTATAATGTCTTAAAACACACATTAAATATACATTATGCACAACTGTACAGTGTCCATCACAACCTACATTTGGTTGCCATTTACAATAGTCAATGGTTGCCATGGCAACGACCTAGACGCGACATTTGAAAACTCAAGAAAACTATAGTATTTAAGCTTCATGCCTTCTTTGGACAAAGTATATAAAATAAACCCATACGGATGAGGTATTATCTGCCCATTCATCACACTGTTTATTCTTGGAATCTATTCAATGGAAATTAATTTGGCATTGAGAGTCTACAAATTGCAAGACAAATTTAATGTTGGTATAAAGATGGCTGTCTTCTAGATTGTAGGCCTATGTAGTCTGCTAGAAAATTACCAAAGTTTCAGGGTTCCTTTCTGCCCCCAGAAGCAGGGAGAAGAATATATTTGTAAAAATGGAATACACATATAAGTCTCCATTACAGTGACATGAAATTTTTGTTTACCTAAAGTAGTGTAACCATATACTTGCCACTAAATTTTATGTACCATTTTATGATGAATACCAGCAAAATCTGTTGGCACATGTTTGCATTTTTGCTTATATTTTAAATAAAATTTACACATTTTTTATAAATTTCTTAAGGTTTTATTGCTAACATAAACAAAACAGACACACTGTATTTTAGAATTTTCTTATTATACTTTTTAATGAGTAGATTCCAAAGTATTGCTTCTTGTTAATGTTTGAAGTCTACTCCCTACTCTCATATTAAACATTATCAACAAATCAAAATATCAAAAGATAAAAGTTGAACATAAATTAGTACCTTAGCTATGACTCGGATACTTTGTCCTGACTATATTTAATGGTATACAAAGCTATAATACTTTAACCTACATTGGAACTAATATAATCTAAGCTACCAAGGCAACGGAAAGCTAGTGGCCTTTGAGGTAACAAAAATTTCTGCAAATTTTCTTCCTCCTGAGTGTGCTACATGCTATGCCCATATCATCATTCTCTGCCATTTGATCACCCTAATAACCACCCTTATAATTGCAAAAAGTACAAATTATGAAGTTTCTCATTATTCAATTTTGCCTGGTTTCCCTTAAATTTCTCCCTCTATGGTTCTCTTATTCTTCTAAATTACCTGTTCTCATACAGCCTCAATTTATGTTCTTCCTTCGATGTAAGAAACCAAGTTTCACACTTATACAAAACAACAGTCATATTTCTATTGACAGTACCAGACTTATGCTTAAAGCCTCACAATACAAAGGGAAACAAAAGATGTATTATAAGTTTTACACATTTTCACTAAATAATTTTCGTATTTATTTTTTAGTGTTCCCTTCAGTTAGAATAAAAAAATGTATATTTTGACTTTTGAATGTTTGAAGTCTCTTGAACTTGACATAGCTTTCGGCCACAGGTCAGAGTCTGTCCCTGATTGTAAGCCTATTATTTTATGACAGACAACAGAAAGGCGAAAAACTGAACGGTAGGCAGGTCTGTCTTAGAATAAATATTCAAATATGGACAATATAATATTCATGGATTTTTTATTTGATTTCCTCAATAAAACATGATTGACTACATGAAGAAATTTTTTTCTGTAGCATATAAAACAGTTTAATGTTTTCATGTTTTTGTGGGAGTACAACACACGAAAAACATTAAAATAATCTAACACGTAGCACAGCTTGTATTTAAATTGATGTTCCTCTATAATAACATGTTTTAGAGAGAATGAGATAAAGAAAACGAATAAGTAGCGAGCGAAATAAAGACAAGAAACACAAATGAAAGGAACGGGACGGGAATATGCATTAAAGCAACAAGGAAATAAAGAAAATGAACAAAGGGGGTGACGAATTAAATATTAAAGAAATCATTTCTCTTTGATGCACACTTTGTAGCTTAAAAAAATGACCGAGGTATATTTTTCAGTGTTTAGATCTAAAATCATATTACAAACACACACACAATAAAACATGCATATATATGCATTTAAAAGAGACAGGCTGCAAACATTAAACTTTAAAGATAAAGGAACTCTTTTTCGATTACTGCATTCATTAAAAGTTCTGTGCATCGACGTAAGTTTTATCACATCTAAAATAAGTTTTAAAATTATGTGAGATGCAGTGCAAAAGAAATTGAATTAATGGGGGTTTGTTTCAGCTGAACCTCAATTTAAGCTTTTATCACGACTATCACGGTTTATATTGATTCTTGAATCTAGAAGAGCAGTTATACGTGTCGATAGAGCTTATCAGATACTTGTTAAATAAATTAAAATATAAACGTTAATATATTCGTTTCTGTGGAACTACATGTGGCAGGAGAGTGCAAACAATGCAGAGAACTTTGTCTTTAAGCGAGTGTCTCTTGCTCGGTTGTCGGTTTCTCAGTAGGAACTTCATCTTTCTGGACCCTCGACCTGCGATCTCTTTCTATCAGCTTTCGGTAGAAACTGTACTTCACCAACCACAGATAAGATGCAATAACTGAAAGCAGAAATTAATTATCGGTATTTAAGACACACGTCAGCTGAGTAAGCATTAGATTTAGCGTTTGCTACACGAGAGCTAATGAGTGAGAAATTAATAATCATTGTTTGCAGCACTAAAAGTTTTATAATTCAGATTGAAATGTCCTAAACAAGTCAGAAAGTTGGGGAAAATCCTATAGGCACTTGATGGTCCTATGAGGTCAATTCAGAAGATTTTTATGGTATTAACATCAAATCAAATATTTAATCTTAAAACCATTTGACTAAATGTATTAATTTCCCTGATGCCACTGATGATGATCTCTTGAGGTCGAAACGCGTATGGCAATAGTGTCCATTATACGCCATACTTAGTTTCTTTCGGACCTGAGGACGTCAAGATGCTGACAGTATAACTATCTATTTTTTTTACAATATAATTAACTCTTGGGAATGCATGAATCATCCACTCACTCGCAACTCACTCAGCATTTTAAAGCTGATTTATAATTTTCCCGGAGGTGCGTCTTACCAACAAGTGTTGAGCCGGCCATAATAATTCCCAGGCCGACGATAAACAACCTGAAAATCTCGCTGAAGCCAATGATGGCGGTGATTATCACCAACAGCCCTATCCCCAGCTGACAGACTATCAGATAAGGAACCATGAAGCCTGGTTTCTCCTGGAAACACAGAAAATACTTACTGCCCTACCTACTAACAATTCATAAACCTACTAATTTATTTCAGATAAACTATGCTGGACTCGTCATCAGTGGTCAATGTGTGACAAATATGGATGTGGTGAGTTTTATAATGGTAATTGACGATCCAGATTTTCTGAGATGTTTCAAAATGATATCGTGTTGTAAATATGGGTTAACATTTGTTTGAAGTGTCTTTATAAAAAGAATTAACATGGTAAAAACATCAATTTAATGTCACAGATAGGTTTTAAGAGCTAAGATTTGGCACAAAGATTGTTTACGTATGTTTCATATTGTCACGCACTTACTCTGTGAGCTCCATATAACAATAACATGCAGCACAGTGCGAGAATCGAAGCTTCGGAAACCAAAGCGATGCACAGGTCTCTCGAATCTGTGAAACAACAACTCAGTAATAACCAGTACTTGCAAAATGCAGTCGTTATAGTGCGGTTGCCACAGTGAATAAAGAACCCCAAAACAAAACAAGTGGTTAGTGCATCCTTACCGAACCCGAAGAGATGTGTAATGTTTTCAATGCAAAGTGTATTTTTCCAGAACTCAAAGATCTGTCCAAGTTCCTCGGACTTTACCAGATGTACCAATAACCAAGCCAGCTGGAGGATACTTGCAATCTGGGAAATACGTAAAACAAAACAATCGGTATACAATATTAGTACAGGTGGTTCTCGTTGTACACAGTCAAACTGCTTGGGAGAGTCAATGAAATCAGTGGGCCTGCGCGACAACTTCTGACACGGCCGCGGATAGGATACTAATGATACTGAAATAAACCCGCGGATGTGGAGTCATCGCAGGCTAAGAGGATGATGTACTCTCGGCAGACAATGTGGGCTTCCTCGGCTGTCTCCGCTTAGAAGGCTTCTCCCCCTTTTAGTAGCGATGTGGCTGTGTATTAGGGAGAACACCCCATGCTAAGTCAGTCAGGTTGTCAGCCGATGGCACCCACCGGATTATCAGAGCATGCGCCCCGAGTACTTTATTGAGAAACCAAATATAATAGCTCAATACAATACTTTTATTTTCCGTCGTTTACACAAGCTTATTGTTAAAATCATATAAAATTTCACATAAAATTGTTACATTTTAAAATTGACGACATGTTTCGATATACAATCTTATCATCGTCAGGTCTATCAAAATTAAAATTAAAATCTGGTGTATCTGTTGCTCTGCTTATATTGATGATAAGATTGTATATCGAAACATGTCGTCAATTTTAAAATGTAACAATTTTATGTGAAATTTTATATGATTTTAACAATAAGCTTGTGTAAACGACGGAAAATAAAAGTATTGTATTGAAACACAAGCATGATGCAATTAAGATATAAGAAAATAATAGCTCAAGTGTGTGCAACGAAAGTCACAAGTATAAGAGAATCACCTGGAACTTTCGTTTAATAGTTTAACGTTCAGTATTGAGATAATTGTAAACTATTAAAAGTCTGTACAGGTTCACTCTCTCTCCCACCAATTTTTGCCAAGTTACATGACACCGGAAATACAAAAAACACGTCTCACCGCTTGGATCCATGCTAACGAAACGGTTGCATTTTTTAAGCTGCAGGAGTAGCAGCAACAATGGAAGTAATCCAGTTCTGGCCAACAGCTCATTTTGAACGGCATATCTGGAAAATAAATACAGGTCGTTTCAATTTACCGTATTTTACGTGATAACATTTTCAGACACAGTTCACACGCACAAAATTGTCGTCTTACAGAGGAATAAAATATTATATAAAACATACAAGGTCTCGGTGGTGTCTAAACCCCTTGAAACTTCAATTCGTCTAAATATTTAAGGATCCAGTCCTTACCGCAAAGAGAACACAACACTTGAACATTTCAAAGATCGAATGGTTTATGTTGTTTAAGGAAACGATCAATGTTTTCACTGAGAATCGTACAAAACTCAAAAAAACAAAATACAGTATTACTAATAAGTTAAAGCATTTGGTCCATATAGAGTAGATTCCGATTAATTGGGTCATCGGGTACAAACATCCATGCCTTGAGTGGGACTCGAACCCACGGTCGCAGCGGCCAGGAGCACGAGGTCCATGCCGGGGGGGGGGATTTAACCTTGAAATAAATAAATAGGTTCTGATATTTGAACTGGTTCATTACTGTACAAGATGACGTGTGTTGTGAGTCATAACGCGTACTCAGGCCAGGGCACATTCCTCCGTGTATCAACATAAGCTGAGGAGTCAAATGGAGCGTCGCTTCTCATGAAGTCTGAATTGAAATGAAGCCGATAAGGCAGAAACATTACCCCACTGTTCCATTGAGAAAGGAAAACAATAGACGTACTCAAATGCAGTACGTGTACATATTTTCGAAATACGACCTTTGCTATTTTGCATGTCGAACTGACCTTGATGCTCATTTATTGCAAAGAAAATGCATTGCATTACTGCAAAGCAAACACCACTACTGATACCACATTGCAGAGTCAGGAAACGTTTTTCTTTGAATATTTAATTAACACATAAACAATTACAAATAAAAGACGAATATCTTAATGTAATAAGCCTGTTTTGTTTGACGAGATATTTTTGAAAAAGTCCAATTTAGTTTACATGTAAAATATATATCGAAAATGATCGATACAAACTAAAATTAATTTGGCTTCACAAATATTCTGCGAAATAAAAAAACCCAAATGCAACTGAGATCCGTGGAGTAATGTCGTAAAACACAGATATTTGTGCATTCATTTTATGAATTTTCTGGAGACAAAATATTTAAATCTACACTACAGTTAACCAATCTCACAGTCATACCGAAAAATACACAAAATTATAAAGTTATTAGTAATATACCAAAGGCAAATTATGTTATGGGGAAAGATTCAGCTAAATAGACTATGCACATTTTAATCTAAACAGAACAAAAATTACAGCGAAACTGCAATCACGTGTTGCTTAGTTGACTTCGTCCCCGTCTTTACAAGGATACTTCGTTTCCCCCATGTGGCCTCCACATTCTGTTGTGGCCTCCGTCAAATTCTTTAGTAAATAAACTCCTTGCGGGGACGTTATTATATTTCAAACGGTTTATCTAAAAAAAACCACTTGCTAGTTGCAGGAGAAATTATTGGAAATTATGAAAATGAAACATCAAAATTTTCTACTTCAATATTTTTGTTGTGATTCCTAAGCACACGAAAAACAAAACAGTCCTAAAGTGGTTGTAAGTTTTAAGGTGATATAAAAGCTGATTTATTTTAGAAATATGTAAGATTTGAGGTTTTCACAGCGGTGAGTATGAAGATTTCTGTCTTCTGGGTTATTGCGCTGTGTAGTCTGGTCGATGTTTACCAGCGTGTCGGAGGTCATACTGCCTCCGTCATCAGGGCGACAGCGCAACAACCCAGAAGAAAGAAATCTTTTAGAAATATATTTGCCTGAATTCACCACGTCGCTGCTAACTTTGATCAATATGCAATACAATTAAAACAAATGTCCACTGTAATGTCACGGTATTGGCCGTGATTGCCTAATACGATCCTATAGCATCATCTTTATGGTTGCACATGGCCGTCTTCACTGTTTTACGTTTTATTTTTTACTCCCTACACCTGTTCGTTTAATCGTAACTAAATAATCTCACGAAGCAGCGTTCTTCTTGAGACGCTGATGGTCTCTCAGCTGTTGAAGAAATTCCCTGCCTTCTATGTAAACCGGAAGTTCATCAACTCGATCACGATAGTTTGTCGCTGATGCCCGTCTTGTTCCCGATAAATCCACTATTCATTTAAAATACATTTTAATACGATCCTCTCATCTACTTTTAGATCTCCCAAGTGGTTATTCCCTTCATGTCTCCGGAATAAAATTCTGTGTGAATCGTTTTGTACATTTCGGCCCCTTATCCGTCTTGATTTAATAATTCTAATGTTTGGTTCAGAATACAGGTTATGAAGCTCCACGTTATGTAATTTTCTCCAGTCCCAAGTTACTTGATAAAGGCTGACGTATTTTATTCAACACGTCACACATCACAAAACAAGTGACACTGATGGGGCCATTAATTTCACACAATTTACCGCCGTAAACATTTAATCTAGTTGTCAGTGGAGCGAAAATTAACAAGTGATAAAAAATGTCACCAGTATGATGATTGATGATGGCTGTATCTTGGGTTGTAGCTCCGTGTATTCTGGTAGAAGTTTACCAACATTACCTTGTTGCGATGTTTACTCATCGCACTGATGATTGAGGCAGCAAGAACCTCTGAAAAGTTGGTAATCTTCCATCAGACTACACGGTGCTACAACCCAGAAGACAGCATTCTTCGTACTCACCGCCGTGATAATCTCAAATCGTACACAAGCCGTTGCCTACGAAGCACGTTATACGAAAACTATGTCGGACTTATGACAAAAGTTGCTGGACCAGGATTACACGCTATACGTCAGCATGAAGCTGGTCCGAAGACAGCAACTTAACAACTGCTACTCGCCAAATCGTAACAGATTGTCCTTGTGACACCGAACGCAAAACGCAACTGCACACAGCAAGTGACAGAGAAGCGACCTTCTGCAAACTCAGAGCGCTGTCAAGTACGATACCAATGTAATTTCATACAGAACACGACGCAAATATCCGGATCGTCTCAAGTGACATCAGTCCAGTGGCGGAACGACATCATTTGCTTTAATACTTTGTATATTCCTCTTTTGTATACAACCCAAAGTTTTAAAACAGCCACTGGACCTTATTACGAGCCAGATTATTCCACTCACTTCCTCATATCTCATTATTTGCAATCCATTTTAATATTATCGTCCCATGAGGTTTACCAACTAAAATTGTGTTTGTATTTCTCATTTCTCCTATGAGTGGAACTTATTAAATATATTTAAACTTTCATTTGGAAGCCTATTAAAAAGTTTCGTAAATATAGGACGCAAAATTAAAAACTCAATTACTCTGACAAATCAGTAGGCCTATAACATCATACCGAATCTAATTATTTCAAAAGTTTGCATGCCAACTTACATTCAATGATAACTGAAAACAAAATGTTTGTGATAAAATAAGAAATTCAGTATGTCCCATATGCAGTTGCACGCATCAATTTAAAATATCACCCGTTTCTTACAGAATAATAACAAAAAACATTCCAGATATGGACTAAGGTTTTCTCAGACCAGACAGAAAATATTACTGGTTCAATGTCGATTGCTTCAGATTACTACTGTTTTTCTCATTTGGTACCAAAGGAAGCAAGGTATTCAAATTTTTGGAACGTCGAGGAAACACGAGAATATTCTGTGTCTTACAATTGACCGCATTTGACTGGTAGTAAATGTAAACACCCTGTTCTTTGCAGGAAAATAAACTGCATTTGGAACTACATACCTTTGGCAAGTTTTTACAAGAAACACATACCTACTTATTGAAGTCTTGGTCCTTGGGCCCGCCACGTGAATGGAGACGTCACTGGTCCTTATTTAAATTGATTGAATCCAATCCACATCTTCTAAACGTGTTTCCCCAAGACTAATTTTAATATCTTCTATCTCTCCTAGGTCCTAAGTGATCTCACGAATCCCCACGGCCTTACAACAAATAACAGCGTTCGGCACACCCTAATTAATCAGACACACGACGACACGAAATATTGCCTTTCAAAAAGCGGGTACGAATCTATACATGGCTATAAATTTGTAAACCCATCTGCATATAAATCCTTTGCCTAAAAGAATTAAGACGTATGAAAATATGACATACGTTGAATGAAACTATCGATGATGAACTTACGTAAATGTATTTCGAATTTTAATTCCGAAAGTCAAGATATTATTTTTTTCTAACCATAATGTACGAATACACAATTTATATAAAAATTCGCGGCACGCCGGTTGACAACCAGTGACAAAGACCAATACCTAAATCTTTGCGGCAGTGACAACCTGAGATCTCGTCACGTGTTAACGTATTGTTAAGTCACTCTTGCTTTCCACATTTATTTTCTCCCCCTAGAATTGTTTTTAATATCCACAAGCGGAAAGCAAATTTTTGTATTAGTTTTACTTTATTAAAAAAGTGTCAGATAATATATGATTCTCATATACTTTAGTACACACCATCACAATCTATAATCCAATGTAACTAACTTATATATTCTAAGTCTATCAAACTACACAAGACGTCCACTGTTACATGTGATCATATGAGTACTGCAGTTAAGAAATTCATGCTATTTCTTCTGTGTACAGGAGTTACATAATACACATATTCTTAAAACAACATCTATTATTTATACACATCCTGATTAAAATTAATTAATCACTAACTGAAATACGGATCAACACATTCTATATCATAAGTTCTTTTGTGTGTAGTCATCAAGCTATCAGAATATATTGCTTTCCAAGCTGATTTAAAGTCTTGATGTAGTATATTCAGCAGCTGAGTGCATATAATGTTCGTATTATTGTTTTTATGCTTACTTAATATATTATATATTTGTACTACGATTCTATTAAGTGATACAGACATTTGAGTACAATGCAGCATCCAAATGGCAAAGGTAGTCTCTATTATTCCTAATAATTTACTTAGGAAGTTAGACCCACTGTAAAAATCGCTGTTTTTGAAATTTTCCAGTCTGAAACGACTTTTCATAACGGTGTCTCTCATTCGATTATTATTGCTTTCTACAAACTTTATCACGTTAACACGCTTTTCTAACCAAAGTGGGCAGATGTGGACTTCATTAGTTGGAGCAAAATATATAGCAGTGGAAAGCTTATCAAGAATAAAGTGCACAAGCTACAGAATATACAGAATGTCCCAAAAAGATGTACGCACACCAGCGAATTTGTCAGTCTGTTCCTCACTTCTGTCAACTGCCACGAAGCTAACGGCGGCCATTTTGAAAACTTTCGCTAGATTCACTAATTCACGAAATGGAATGCTGACTTGTAAAATGGTTTAGATTATTAAAATGTGTCTATTTAATTTATTGAAGGTATGTGTATATTTTTGGGACACTCTGTATTGCTACGAGAATTTACACGGCTTGTGGCTGCTTTTGCAGAATATCGTGCTCTATTTGTGTGTACGTCTTTCGCCCTTCTTCTGGGTTTATGATTGTTTCTTCTATAGCAACACGTTTATCATAATCGAGGTTTTCCGAAGCCATGCAGCCACTGTCTTCCAGTTGCCTATAAAACGTGTAGACCACAGCGAAACAATACGTCTGGAACGCTAAAAAAAATGAAAACACACTCTGCCTTAGCGCCGTGTACCAATGACAATAAAACTTTGTACTCTTTGTCACTGATCCACGTCAATAAATTTTTAATAATATATCTGACTAATCTCTATACAGAGCGCCCCCATGTAACTCGGAACCCACATACCAGCCTTCGACGGCTGTGTAATGCTTCGTGACAAACTCATTTCCCGGTAGTTCGTTCGCTGTCGCTACGGCATGCAATTGTGGCGGGTTCCAAGTTAAGTGGGACACTGTATTTAAGCCAGTTGTTGGATACAAGAGCCTCGTACATCGATATTTACAACGTATAAAATGCTTCGTGAACAGCTAAACCTTATTACAGATTCAATGTTTATTAAAATCCATTACATGTTTCGACTTTAGTTGGTCATATTCAGGTGGTTCTCTTTAAGTGTTCGAAACTAATGGAAAACGAATAAATTATTATGAAATTTAAAGACTGTCCATAATTAATAAATACATTTCTGTAATGTGCCTTAGATGAGGAGATTTACTTCAGTGCTTACCCAAAATTAGTCCACCAATCACCATTATCATAATGCCAGATGCAACCTGATCGAATTTGAACAGGTCAATGGTTGCCATGACTAACAATATGGCGAATAAAACAACGAAAACGAAGTGAGTAAATACGCAGGGCAGCATAAGTATAGACTTCTCCTGTAAGTAGATTAAGATAATAATAATGTTTTAGATATAATTTTCACAAGCAAATGTATGTTTTGTCTTGGAGATAAGAATTAGATGGAAATAAGGAATTTCTTTACTGCAGGATGCGTGTTAATAGTGTACATTAGGGGACAGAGGAATTTGACGTATAAACAAGCACCTCGATGTCGGTAAATACTTTCATGCTTTTCAAACTTAAATGGAACAATGACAGCTTTTATACATAACAAATTCACAATGTACTACTTACTTTCCATGCTCCGTATATAAGAAGCCCGTTGATGAAAACATACATTGCGGAGGTGGTAACCTTGGAGGCGAGAATTTCCCTACTGTCTGTAATATAAACAAATTTCTTTGCAAATCTGCAGAACAAACTTAAGGACTTCTGACCGATGACATAAATGTGTGTGGTGTTTGAAAGAAATAGCGACAAATTGGTTCTACCAGACTACATGCCATGAACTGTCTAATGCCTGAGGTATATTTGAAATGCACTACGTTTTGGGGACAAATTTATTAGACTTGTATTTTGTTTTATGATTTATGGTGATGGTTTGAATCGAAGCAAAACCCCTTTTGAATAACTGGACTATTACACTATAATAATATAATCATTTAAAGATGGTTTTAATATGGTTTTATATATAACTTTTTATTTACGTTGCTAAGCATTTTCACATTTGCTAAGCATTTTCAGTCGGTCTACAGTACCTCTTTAGGCGTATCCCCTTCCCCTGTGGAGTCCTCCGACTTCTTGTCTTTAGCCCCTATCTCCGAATTGGACATTTGTAAAGCAATTCGTCGTCTGAGACCTTCCAAATCTGTCGGACTTGATGACATTCCTAGCTTTGTTATAAAGGGTTGTTCGGAAATCTTTGTTCCTGTTCTCAAGCACATCTTTAATCTAAGTTTAGCACAGAATTATTTCCCTATTTTATGGAAACAGGCAGCAGTAGTTCCTGTTTTTAAAAAAGGTAACTCTGCCACTGTTAGTAACTACCGACCCATTTCTATACTTAATACTTTTTCCAAATTATTTGAACTTGTTATTTATGATCATGTCTCACATTACATAAAGTCGAAATTAAATCCTTGTCAGCATGGTTTTACTAAATCTAAATCTACAGTTACTAATCTCGTAACCTATCTTGATTTTATTAATCCAATAGTTGGCTCCCAGGGTCAAGCTGATGCTGTTTATTTTGATCTTAGCAGTGCATTTGATCTTGTCCCTCACAATCTATTACTCAACAAGCTCAGTGCTTTTGGACTCTCTGATGGTTATGTACACTGGTTTCGTAGTTACTTAACCAACAGACAATCCCAGGTTCGCGTTTCTGGAACTCTTTCGTCTCCTTTTGTAGTCCTCTCTGGAGTTCCACAGGGATCTGTTTTGGGTCCTCTACAATTCAACCTGTTTACTGATGACATATGTCAAGTAATTAATCATTCTAAATGCCTTCTTTTCGCTGATGATATCAAAATTTTTCGTGCCATTAAATCTCCCAACGACTGCAATCAACTTCAAACTGACATTGACTCGGTACAAGGTTGGTGCACTGCTAACTTCATGAAACTCAATATTAGTAAAACTACAGTAATTTCCTTCTCCAGGAAAACCACTACTTTGATCTTTGATTACAAACTTTTTCAGTCCTCCATAACACGTACCGATACCATTAAAGACCTGGGAATATTTATCGACTCCAAGCTCCGATTTCACAACCATGTTGACCACATATTTTCACATTGTATTAAGTTGCTGGGTCTTGTTCGCACATTAACCTTTTCATTCTCTTCTCTCGATTGCCTGTATATGTTATATGTAACCTTAGTTAGATCCAAGCTCGAGTACGCCTCGGTCGCTTGGAATTCTATTACGACTACTGATGCCAACAAACTGGAACGTATCCAGCAGAAGTTTGCAGCCCTTTGCTACTATCATTTTCTCCCCCAAGTGCATTACAGCTACGCTGATGCGTTAGAGTTTTTAAAACTCCATACCCTGCGTAAGAGAAGGCATTGCAGTGATGCACTGTTCCTTGCACAGATTTACCGTGGCTTTAAATGCTGTCCTTCCCTTCTGGAAGCTGTCGGTCTCCGCATCCCTGCTCGGAATCTGAGAGATTTTTCTATGTTCAGTTTTAGCACTTTGTTCAAAAACAGTCCTTCTGCTAGATGCGCATCAGCTGCTAATGTCATCTGCAGGGATTTGGACATATTCGAGACGAAAATTGTCACACTTCTTTACATTTTATAATAGTATAAGTTACTTAATTGATTCATGATATTTTTACAAATATCCTAATGTAGTTAGTAGTAATTTTTGTGTATTCTTTCCGTATCAATGTATTTTATATATTGCTTGTTTTACCTTTTATGTTTTACTGTGTTTGTGAGTTTATCTCTGTGCTGTATCTGTAATTGGCCATCAGGCTGTTGATACAGCACACAAATAATAAAGAATTGAATTGAATTGAATTGAATTTGTTCTTTAATGAAAAAAGCTTATATCAGAGCCACCCTACGCCTATAATATTCGGTTATTATAAATTTACTAGTAGTCAATACCATTGAAATTGTACAGGGAATAATTTCTTTGGAAGCTTCATCTCTAACTCATTTATTTCATTCCTTGGTTCGTTTCGTATCTTTATCTACAGTAGAATTCTAAAAGATACCTAATGGCAGCACCACTTGGAAATTAAGATTCACTGTCATCTGCCATTTTCACTAATAACTTTGTCATACATAACACACACAGTTATAAAAAGTATCCTATTTTCTATAAGGATTTATTGAGCGTTTAAACTACGAAATATATAGAACACCCCAGGAAATAGACAATGTTTACCGTACTACTGCTTTATATGGAATCAACCATTGTTACTAATCTTTAGGTATAGTTAATCTGAATCTAACAAAATATAATTAGAGTTTTTAAAGTGACAGAAGATTGAACAATATTATAAGAGATCTGTGATAAAGGAAATGCATCTAAAAATTACAACGGCTTTAAAACTGACAGCTAAAGGACTACAGAAACTTGATAATAAACATAAAACATCAAGGAATAATTTATAACTTTCAGACACTAAAATGCATATTTTGGCTGATGTTTTCAGCAAGGCAGAAATGGCAGCTTTCAAATTACACTAAATGTTGCTTAATTTTCGAGATAATTAAAAACTAGGGTAAAACTTTGGTGAATTTATGTACTCAGGATGTCAAAATTGAGTAGAAGGAGAATTAAGTGTAAATAAATTTGACTATGTTACCTGGTGGAAGGAGAAACAAACTTTCTTCTTCTTCTTCTTCTGTGTAATACCACAAGCTGACAAAGGATTTGATGAAATATATCAGACCTGTTATCTGTAAAAAGTAAACAAGAATGAATATAAGGAACAGTAAGGGGGACATGCTCTCAGTCAGTCAGTAGATGGCAAGTCTTGATGAATGCGAGGTCTGAGACTTTCACGATCTTTTATAGCTCGATCTTTCGATTACTCGAACAGTACATTTGTATACCACTCGAGGCGTTGGTGGTTATCCTCATTGTTCGATGTTATATTGTCCTGTGTAGGATGAATCCTTGCGATTGGCCGATCCCGCGTACAGAGAATCACACTAAACATATAAAAGGATCAATAGTTTTAAGATATAAATTCTGGATTATATCAAACCAGAGGAACTGATACATAAAATGTAAAGGCGAATAGTGGGTCTTGCTACCCTCGCTATTAGCGTAAAGACGAATGAAATAAGACGTAAATGAAAGTATCAGAACATGTAACATTACTGAGACAGGCAGGCCTATGGCGTGTTCGGTAAAGATGGCATTGATGCGACACTTACCAGTAAAACTACTGCTACAGTCATAGTTCCCGTCTTCAGCTGGCAGGAGAAACAGCATAAATTAAACTGTTGCATACGTGGGATGCATTTTATTGCCAAAACCATTGTTGCGGGTATTACCCTCCGTCTAAACGCCTGCACAGAGAAAACCCCTGTATTAAATTCTACATTTGCATAGGTCTAATTAGCAACGAATTACGAAAATCATGTAAAATAAATATGGATAAAATGTCAAGGTATCACGTGGCCTCTAACCACTCGTTTAAAATTTTTGTTGTCGTATTTTTCAGTTAAGTTCAAAAATTTATTAAATTCTGTTTCATAAAAGTCAATTTTTCCAGTACACTTTAAGAATGATTAAGATAGTTTCAGAATTATACACTTTAATTGGGACAGCTAAACAATTTTAGTCGTAAGATAATTTTATACAATTTTAATATATATATATATATATTTTTTATAAAAGATTGTCCAGCGTATCTGAAGGACGAAGTGATACATTGCTCTAAAATGTTGGTATCCACTTACAAGACTACATCACAAACAAGAAAATTACTAATAAGGTTTTTAAAATGCAGCTAAAGTAGAGCATTTAAATTTAGATTTAAATATCGTTCTCTACAAATGTCGGTAGCAGCTACGAGCCAACCGAAAGTAGAGATATATATGTTTGCTAATACAAAATAATAAATTTAATAAAGAGAGATATCATACACGCAATAAAAACATTACAAGACAAAAAAATTATATTTCCCCCTACAAGTTTTATGTTAGCAATAAGCAAATGTCAAGACAGATAATTTGTTCGAAATCCCAAATAAATTTTTGAAGGAGAAGAAGAAAAAAGAAACCACAAACACGCGAGCGCTAAGTTAATAAAAATCACATTTACTCCTTTAATCATCGAACATAATCAATAGGCTTAACTATTTATTAAGGTTTCGTCAAAATAAATCTGATTGTGCAATTCGTACGTCAAGAATAACAATACCACATATTAAGCAGAACAGATAAATACATATACACATTATAAAATCAGGTTCATATATTGATCCAACACGATATCATCGGAAATATATACATGCGTGGAATCTCTCTGACATAAATGCAAGAAATTTAACAAACTCTAGTTGTATAATTACCAACTATGGAGTTAAACTTTACAGCTTAAGTTTGTTCATCACCCGGATTTTCAACAGGACCTTCTTCGCAGCGCCCACTTCTGCCGACCTTAATGAAGCCACCACACGAACTGAGTGAGTCTCTGTCCGGATCTGCGCAAGATACTGTATGGCCAGCCACAATGATCTTATGCCACTTTTACGTAAATCAAATGTAACTCTTTGCTAGGTGTTTGGACCAGTGACTGTGACTTAAGAAATTCCACTCAGAAGGGTTCTTGTTGAGAAAGCTAACAGTGGCTTAGCTTTTTAGGAAATTCTCCTTTATAGAACGCCAATGTTTACTATAGTGTTTAAAACAGCACACAACTGAACAATATTAATTCAATCCACATTCTTATACCTCTAACATTTTGGTCTAATTCACCAGTCCATATCTAGGTCTCTAGGCCTTCCACGTTACAAAAACTAGGTACCAATTTTTATTCGAGCTCGTATGCGTCTTGTGAGATTAAGTAATGAGTAAATGTTAATACGAAGATTTCTGTCTTCTGGGTTGTTGCGCCGTGTAGTCTGGTAGATGTTTACGAACGTTTCGGAGGTCATACTGACTCCGTCATCAGGGCGATTAAAAGTTGGTAAACTTCTACCAGACTTTACGGCGTCACAACACAGAAGACAGCCATTTTCGGACCCGTCGTGAAAATATCAAAACTATTCAAAATCAGTTAATATTAACTTATTTAAAATAATAATTGATGAGTTCATATTGCGATAAGAGTATTTAGTATTCTCTGTAGGAATGTTACAGATGATACTGGTAATAGAACTTTTCAAAACAGAAATGGACCGACACTGCTTCTTGTGTGTTGCACGAACAAACATCTCTCAGACAGAAATCAATGCGCACTCTGCTTTCAAAGGCGCCAGACTTTGTGTCACCGGCGATGAAGCCTCTAGTGCCAGGTTATCGTCTGGGTTTTGAAAGTCTTGTACTGACTGCTTTTTTCTGGTTTTGCGGATTAATTAAAGAAGTCGTATCCACTGGTTTTGGCATTTAATGTCGAGTACGGTGAGATGGAATATTCCGATACGGTTCATAGAGTAACTGAGAAAATAGCGAAAAACTTGGAACCGTCTATATACTGCCTTAACTTACTGTATATGACCTATAATGCTGGTCTTATGTTAATATATATATTATAAAGAAATATATTAAAATTCTAAATAACTTTAATAAGATATATTTATGTCCCAGTTTTCCGTCCAGGGGAATTTAGATGTAAGAATAGATCACATGCCTTTAATGTATATAGGTTTGAAGGAAATTTGTGAAAATTATATTTCACAGTCTTTATTAATCAGATTTTTACACAACACATTAGCTGAGAGAAATTCAGAAGTTAAATTGTTCCATCTTATATTTTAAAGAACAGTAGTAACTATATGTATATATCACCATTTTTAACATCAATTAAGTCATCAATAAAACGCACGAATTTTGTATACATTTTGTGCCTGTCCGAAGAACTTGTCAGTAGTAAGGAGTGTTTGATCTATATAGTATATTTAATTTAATTTTAATTCGTAAAACTGCACAATGTCTCATAGTCTCTTCATGTTGATGGCTATCATATTAACTGACAAAAGTCTGCAGTCACTGGGCTTACAGAAAAATATGACACTCCCTGAAGCCACTGTTTTCATGAAAACAACATAACCTGAGGCTGTAAGGTTAGCTGGTAGGTTATGGTTGATACGTTAAAAGGATAACAAATGACGAATAAAGTGGAATTTGAGAGAAAACGACCATACCTTACGATGGACTTTCCTGTTATTGATATTTTGACTATTATCAAGCATTTTAATAAATAAAATGGAGTGAAATTCGTTAAAAATTTAAAAGTTATTTGTCACTCACAGAAATGGTACGTGGCATTCGAGAACAATCCGAAAGGAGACGGTTCTGGTAGCGATGTCCTCTGCAGTTATTAAAACAGATATTTTCTTTACGTCCTTACGCACAATTAGAAAAGACGTTATTATCAATAAGCGTAACGAATATAATTGAGGCATTGCGATAAGGATTTCCGCGTCCTTAACATTAGATCTGGTAAGGTAAATATGTTCATATATCTAACACTGACTCCAGGTTTTCTTTATTGTAATTATCACATGTAATACACATAATATTTAGCTTTACCTGGCCACAGAATGGTGCCAGAATGAATATACACTTCTACTGATCTAACATCGTGAAGAAGGATGGAATAAATTCCATACGCATTAGCCACACTCCATTACAAGAAAGATATAAGGAACTGCATTATTTATATCAGAAAGTGTATACTCCATTAATTTGTATAATTATAATATCTACCTAATATGCCTAATATAATGAATGCGTATTAAGTTCTTTATTACTAAGAAGTCTCTTAGCATAATTTAATTGTAATTTGAACCAACGTAGGTTCACAAAGATTTAGGTGACGACACAAAAATTACTTACATGTGAGTTCATGTTACAGAACATTAAATTACAGAGAACACTACACTAATACAGCACACACTGGTTTTGACTCATGAGAACACATTTTTAAATTACATTTTACAAAACATTTCTAAAGTCTAGCAACTATAACGACAGAGATCACATCTTCGGTGCATATAAATAAAAGTCTGTCTTTAACCGTCCCTTATCATAAAAAATCTTTGTTTCACGCGATACCTCGACAAAAATTTGACTGTGAATCCCCCAATCGTTACGAAGCAACATTTCTCACTTTTCTCTGCTAAAAGCTGATATAAAATCATCTATGTAAAATATATCATTTAACACTTTTCTAAATGAAAAAATACTAAGTTGTTTTGAATAAATTACATTTTTAGTATACAAGAATGTTTCTATTTTTAAAAAGTTAAATGTAGTCTTAACATTTTTTGGTTATGTGTCATTATACTTATTTTACATCTATAACAATAACGTAGATATTTGTTTATAAATACAAAATAAATATCGCTTTAGGAATTTTAAAATAATGGAGTAAACTTTCCTTCAATCGATGTTCAATTTTTTCTGCTGAGAAATATTTTGAGGATAGAAGACACATCCTTATGAATAATTAAGAAGGAAAATCAATTAAAAATTAAAGAGGAGTGTAATCGTTGTTTATCAATTACCTGCTGATCTCGTACACTACATACGTTCCCCGTAAGTTGTTCATACCGTCAGAAATTAAATTTTTATTGTGTGTATGCTAGTACATTCACCTAATACGACATGAGCTACTTCACAAGAAAATGAGTCATTTTTCTATAAGACCGGTTTTCCATAAAGTAGCTATAGTTTAGAGCAATCTAAAAACTGTCAATCCAACAGAAATAATTCACGACTGTCACAGGCAACACAAAGAAATTTTTATTAGTAAGAGCTAAATATTGAATTGCTCTAATTAAGTGTCTAACGTATGCTTCGCAGAATAAGCCATTTTCTGAAAAAGAGAATTCTGTGTATTTTGGGCAACTATTTGCCTGAACTTCTCATTTCAAGACTAAACAATATTAAACTTTAGCTGAAAAATGTTTTGACTCTATTTCCTTAAGAATTAATTGGTAATTATCATCTCTGTTTTTATATTTAAACATTTTCATAAACGCAATGCAAGATAATACACATGCATTTGCAGATTTAAAGTCTATGGTTTATGCATCTCTATTTATACCTGCATCGAAGTTATCCCTATGACTAAACTCTTAGAGATAACAAGCTAAATTTATTTTGATGGTGGAAAGAGTACACACTGATACATTCGTTCCATACGCGACATTCAAACCCGTGACCTGCCGACACATAAAGCCCCACGGTTGGCTTCTTCACTGAGGACATATGAAATACGTTTATTATACTTTATAAAGAAAACTCCTAGAATGGCCTTCGACAAAAACACACAATAATATGACAAATAACAGTACACCATATTAATATATTGTTTCCACAATCGTAGTGTTGTGGGGTAGAAAAGTGGTTATTAAAACTTATTAAATGCAATTAATAACTGCGAATATTTTGAACAGAAGTGCAGAATACATTATGATAATACGAGAATCCTCAGAAGAAATTATTATAAATATTTTTCTTTTTGTAGAATTATTTATGCACATAAGTCTATGTTCCTTATGCAGTATTAAGTTCATGTAAGTTTAATTATCTTTTTAATGAACCTATAAGGTCGAAAGAAGATAATATCTTATAAGATACAAAGAACCCGAGATAACTGCAAATTGCTCGAGAATCCACAAACATGTATATCAATTTTCGTATATTCAAAATATACGTGACAAAAAATGAGCACGGTTCTACTAACAAAGCAAAACGTTTAGAAATGTAAAAATCAAATTGCATTACACTTTATAGAAATATTTATACACTTTTATTCTTTTAGCGATAGAGACATGTTCCTCTTTTATAAATTTAAAGAAAGAGTGATGTGTGTATTTTGCAAAACAGTAATCCTGATTTAAGTAGAAAATACAAATTAATACAAATTCAATTCTCTCACCACCAGACTAATAAATAACTTTTGTACAAAACAGATTTTTTTGAATTTGAAGACTCACACTTTCGTATAAGTGCTTAATAGGATTGTTTGAAAATTCATTCTCTAAAGTGCTTCATATTTTTCCTGTCTCAATGTAATAGAGAAATTCGGAATTTCGACAGAAGGAAAAGCTCAATCAGTTTTAGTTTATATCAGTAAGACTGTGTTCTGAGACCCAGAAGGGCACCTGGCAGAGATTAGTTGAAAATAACAGGAAAAATGTTCAGTAGTCCTATTATTTTACAACGTGGAGATAATCGCTGAGCAATGCATTTAATGCACTAGTCGCATTTTCATTACACATATTTTAAACAGCGTATGGCTGCTTCTGTTGGATATTGTATTCTATTGTTTCATAAGCTTTCTGAATTTCTTCTGGATTTATAATTTCTTCTTCCTCCGGCTCGGACTTCATATAAGTTAAATTTTCAAGTTGCGTATCCCTCTGAGCTACACCCCCCTCTGTAAGCTCTCTGTAGTAGGTATAAACAGCAGCCCACAGATAGGCCAACAACACTGCAAGAAAATCAGAATGATTCAAGATTAAAGTATTATTTATGTTTCAGCATTTTAATTTCCATATTATTTTCACCTGCTTACATCGAACTGACTTTCAATTCCAATGTACTCTAAATGATTCACTTTTACTACAGTAGCACACAAATTATATTGATCTTAGAAGAGACTTCAATGACCGGTCAAAAATCAAACACATCGAGGGCATTATGCCATAAGGCGACATCAACAAAATTGCTGATTTACAGAATACTAAATTATGACATAATCTGTTTAGGTAAATGTGCATTATCGGCTTTTATTCGTCCAAACGTAGCTGTCTATCTTTGTCTACAGTAGCGTCAGAATTACGTCTTTCATGTCTGATATATATCACAGTATTTTATGTTGACAGACCAAATATCTCAGATTATGAAAATATGGCATGATGCTTCGACATGAACATTTATTAAAAGACAGTGGTAATACAGAAATAAAAATATCAAACCGTTGGACAAGTTTACTTACGTGTAATTGGTACGCCAAATAACAGACTCAAAAATCCCTCGTATGGAGATTTATAGATCATTATAACGCCACCCACGACGACACTTATGGCAAGGATAACGATGCCACAGAATCCTACTAACACGTACGGCAATATGAACAGAGATTTCTCCTAAAACATGAAATTGAATTGAATTAATCATAGCTAAAGTATGTTTTCGATTGCAGTCAATATAAATGCATTTGTGCTAGTACACATAATAAAACTTCATAACAACCACGCCAAATTACCGTCAAGTTTTCATTTTGTAGACTTATTAAAAAGATATCTCGTTTTATACAACATTATACAAACACCACTTACACAAGAATAACTCTTGAAAAATTTACTTGTGTTACTTGGAATAAAAATGACGTATCTACAAGAAACAAACACACATGCCAAACATAAGTCTACGTACGTCTTGAACTGTGAATCGTTGGAGTGGTTTAAACGTCACATTCGAAATTCAAACTAAATTTAAATGTAAATAAAAATGAAAGGCAATTCTGTTACACTTTTAAGGAAAATAATTACAAGCCGGTTAGGCATATCTTGTTTATCTTCGATCATGTTTCTGAATGTGTTTGGTTTAAGACTAAGTTCTTGATTTTAATCATTCACCTGTATCACCGAACTGAACTCTCATATTATTATAATCATAGAAATCGAGTCATAGGTCAATCTTAGTCTTTGAATAATTAATGAGCAATTAATCGGAAGAAATTGCCCTGGAATTTTCTTAAATTTTACAATAACCGCTCCTTTCCCAAACTCTATTTAAAATTTCACTAAGATGTTTATGGGGTACTTTTTAAACATGCACAAATATTATTTTCAAACACTAAAAATGACCAATTAAGGTCGACACACGTAGTGGATCTTAATACAATCTTAACTTTTATAAAAAAAATTGTTGTTTACACAGACTTTTAACCTAATAACGGACGTCTACAATACGCCATCAGATATTTTAGTAAGTATTCAGAGGATAAAATGAACACATTACGTTCGGACAAACGCTGTTGTACCCACCGTCCATGCGCCAAACAGAAGACTTCCATAAACCAGCACGAGCAAAAGACCACAGAACAATCTTCCAGCCAGAGCTTCTCGGCTTACTGTAACAAATTATACAATCATATCACCTCTAAGTCTTATTATTATGACAGAGGTAGGTGAACACTAACATTGAAACATAATCACTGGTTTCTTTTGGAGATTTCACACCAAAGAAACACAGCCATCTTTAGCCTAACAGTTGTTTAACCGTTTATTTCAGGATTGATAAGGGAGTTAGCCAACTCAGCTCGTGACGTAATGAGTTACCTGTTAAAAATGCATAAGCTGATTTGTCGTTATGATCACTAACAACTCCCTTGTCTTCTTTATTGCTTCCTTCATCAAGGGATCTCTTGTCTTGACTAACAACACTGCGATTTCCTCCAAACTGGTTGTTGTCATCTGAATTTATTGCATCAAGTTCTGCTACTTCAATAATTTCTTCTTTCACAATTGCGTAAGCAATATCTTCTCTATAATAATACAATCGACACGCAGCGTCCATAACTTGAATTGTCATCACCATCTGAATACCAACATTAAAGTTTTCAAAGAAATACCTATTCTCATAACTGTAATTACATTCTCCCTACATAATTTTTATTATTTTACTAATTATTAATTTATCATTAACATCTAATTCTATTTTGACATTTCCATATATTCATTTATTCTTAAAAAAATTGCTAAATTAGTTACTCTCTTATGAGCTACATCTTTATTACTGTTACGCCATTTAATATTACTAAATCTTTAACATTTTTTTGTTCCGAACATTTTAATAATATTATATTTATGATATCATCAGTCCTGACCTCTTAAACAAATAACATTAAACCTAAACTACATATGTTCCATTCACAGAGCCCAGTAGGACCTACTTGCAATCAATGGTTTGTCCCGGCTTTCCAAACAACGCGACCTTAATTAATTACTTCATTCATTCGACTCACCAATCCCATCCATGCAATGAGCAATGTCGCAGTTCGCAACGAGCATGTACAGCAGCGTAGGTTAACGTGGTTCACTACCGGAACCCATTTTATTGTTAACATTTCGCGTTGCACCTGTCAAAAAATCACAATAAAACACTACAAGTTCGTCTGCGGGTCTCACATAACACACATACAATATTTGGGTGTTACGATGATATGACATTAGACGCTCTAGCGTGAGCGAGTAACACGCGTGTCCTTGTTGAGTTTTTCCTACCAGCGTACTTTCTTCTCATTTTTATGAGAACGATTGTAACAGATATTAAGATATCACAGTTACATTATCTCAATAATATTAAAAGTAACAAAGCTATCAGGACACTGTTTCGGAAGTTGGCTCTACTCGTATCTTAAAACAATGGACAAGGTCCGATATTTTTGGTATAAACAATGAACGACAGTGACTTAAGTTAATAAAATTTAACACAGATTTGTTAAAAGTAGAATAATCTAAAGGTGAGGCTTTAGAAATAAAACTTGAATTACTGATCGTAAGAAGAATAAATTTGCCCTGCTATATATATTTATCAGAAGAATACAATATTTAAGTGTCCAGTGATTCAGGATACACAGCTCTAAAACATTCAAATTCAGTAAATGTATGAGCTTATTCAGAATTTAATAACAAAGCAATATTTCACTTCTCTCAGTGAGTTGATACGACCCTGAGTCGTAACACTGTGTCAGAGTGGAGCTGTCTCCCGACCTTGACGAAGTCAAAACACAGACTGAGCCTCTCTGGATCTGCGCAAGATGCTGTACAGTTAGGTCCTGCGCCATAATATTAGCAATAGTTTGCAGCAGAGACAAATTAAGTTAAGGAGTAGTTGCAGGTTATATTTTAAATAACACTGATTAGGTCTGACCAGATATTTTAGGACTCCTTTTATCTTGATTTTTTATCAAATTTAGTCATGACCGGGATGTTCTTTTGTTAAATCTTATGTGGTACCGCCTGATTCGACTTCTAATGGTTAAGTGAAGTGTTTTCTTCGCGGTACGGTCTGGATTCGTAAATATTATGAAGACGAGCTTCGGCTTCAAAGGGTTAACCAGCTGATTTTCGTAACGGTGAGGTGTAGTGTTTTCTTCGCGGTACGGAATGAATTCATAAATAATATTCAGACGATCTTCGGCTTCAAAGGGTTAAATGAAAATTAATCCACTGAAAGACACAAGCTCTGAATTATTATCATAGAATTCAGATTACTGCTACTTTACATTCCTTCGTTGTTTACATTAGTTATATACAACACCCCTTTGGCTTCTTACCTGATTTTTGACACTAAGCAGATGTTCTGCAGGGAGTAATTGAATTGAATTAATGACTGTGGATATATTCAGATAACGAATAGGCTACAACCTAATTTTAACCTTAACTGCAATACTTATACAGTTTTTAAAAACTTCCTGTTGATCCCGAGTAGTGAACGGGCTGATATTCATTCCAGAACTTGGCGCCATGTAGGCGCCATTAGAAGCTGTCTGCAGTTGAGTCAGATCAATAATTTGGCTCCATCTTGATGACGATCTGAAGCCGAGGACTTTTAACTGGACTGGTAACTTCGTTAGTTACTGTGTGTTCATATTACGAAACTATCACTTGTAACGTACATCGATGTTTGGGTCACACTGAGATGTCGAAAATAACTCTGTTCAGATTTGAAAAAACTTCTGAATAGGAAATATGTCAGGCCAGCTTTTAACTACACCTATACAGACTTAACTTTTGACTTCTTTGAAATTAGTTTTGTTTTATTTAGTCTACCTAATTTCATGGATATGTTGGATGGTTATCATTATTAAAGGACTTTGTGTCTTGCCTGATAATATTTCTGAATTTGTATGTTGTTATAGCTGTTGTCATGGTAATGCTGTTAAGGGATTTATGGCCTATGTTTTTCTATTGTAGCTTGAATTACGTATCACGGAACAGAAAACTAAACACTGATTTCGCTCAGCTGCCATATTGTAATTGTACCTAAAAAAAGAAAAGATCTTCGCCATATAAAATGAAGGACCTACATATGTTTGAAGATCTCTTATCGCACAAAATTACAGGATTTCACGAAGAAATTGACGCATTTACCTAGTTATGTTTCCATCTCAGAAAACTGTAAAGCCGTCTTATTTATGTTTGTAAATTTAGCACAGAAATATTGTGGTCACTAGTGTTCCAATGTTGATACGAAGTTTCAGATGAGTCGGAACAAATTTTTGGACCTCCATATAGGTCTCTTAAGAGCTATCTTTGACGAAATAATATTCATTTAGATTTTCAAAAAATGTCCCGCCTTTTATAGGACACATGTTCATTACTTTGCTCACAAAATGTCTCCAACGGAAACTATTCTCAGTCCGATAAATCCAGAACATTCCCTTCCCATAACTTTGGTTAATTAATTTCGTATCATATATTGTATTATTTTGCATTGTCTCTATTCCATATTGTGTAAAATTTGATGGGTTGTAGCACCACGTCGTCTGGCAGAAGTTTACCAACGTTTCAGAGGACCTTGCTGCCTCCATTACCAGGTGATGAGTGAGGAGTAAACGGTACTACTTCCCGGCAGAGAGCCATCATCTTTATCAGGGTTGTCCAAATTTTTCCTCACTCAGGCCAGAATAGTTTCCCTGTTGGACCCAAGGGTCTTACTGTCATTATTTTTGCATTGTCGTCATCTTTAATAATACTTATTCAGAAATGACAAATTACCATTGCACATGCTGACATATATAAGTTTTATTTAAATGTGCACAAACTACTACAGAGTTGTATATTATTTTAAATTCGCTCCTACAACAGCTTGTATCTCTCACAATTTTTACCTTGAAAACTTACACAAATTATTTGAACTCCGCTACTTTAACAGCTTGTATCTAATATAATAACAATTTGTACCGGTAGAACGTATATCTTATGCTTTAAAGTCAATGACTTTAGTGAGAGCACTGAGCAGAATGTTCTTTTACCAGTGACGGAATATCAACTTCAAAATAAATGGGTTTGTACTAATTAGTAACAAATTAACAAATACTTTCGCGGGCTGCCAGTTGGACCACGCTGAGATATATCATATTGTGTTTCCACCTATGCGAAATGGTATCCTGCCTTCAGATATTCTAATTAAAACTATGTTTACACAGTTTTAGTTAGTATCATGTGACTACTCCTTTTTGCTTAATTTTTCCAAAATATAGTTTAGAGGAATATTTTTTTAATAATATCACCACTACTTTTATACAAGTTGCAGTGTAAGAAAATATAGGCTGAATCAGTAGCATCAAGGGAGTGCTTATATGTTGGCTGCCATAGGTAATCCACAATTCTTCGTGATGCTAGTGGTTCAAAATATATTAAATAAAATTGTTGGTGTTGTTGGATATTGCCTGAAGTAACAAAACATCTGTTATGTCATAAGGATCAACATTCTGGACAACAGGAAACAACACAAAGGCTGTACAATTATTTTCACAACTGTTTGGGATTCCGATATAAGGTCTGCGAAAAAACACACATCTTTGAGGGGCGATAGAAAGATTAATTACCCAAGAAAGATTTTAATGACGACGGAACAAACAAGTGAGCGTTAAGTGTTAAAGATGAATCTTGAGCGCTTTTTATATACTGATCCACTTTTTCAAATCTCTATATAAGTATATTTCAATTTAACCTATTTGTTTGAAACTATTAATTATGTTCACAGATCGAAATATCACGAGTTTATCTTTCGATAATACAGAGAAACAGGAAAGCCTAAGAAAACATTTCAGGCATACAAACTAGTGGAGACTTTCTTGAGAAGATGACAGTTGTTCAGATACACCTAGGCCGTGGATTAGGTCCCACGGGCACTGGGATGACATTGTCAAAGGCTTCTTACTCTCTGCCTACTTCGTGTTCTGGCCTGGCTTCCGCCATTACAAGCCAGTCCAACTACAGAACCGCCATTTTGTGAAGAGTCTTTAGTGGAATAAGAGGAGCCTGTTGGAGGACGTGCGCATGCGTAATCCTCATCCCTGTGCGTGGTTATTTTCGTTGTCCATCATAGTCAATGCGTACATTGTGAACACGGCGGTCAGAGCTGAGTAGTCTTCCTCGAACTCTTCTGTTGTGTAGAACGTGCCGCGATCCCCGCTTTCTGAAGTAACTATAGACAATTTCCCGCAGGTGCAATGGCGTTTCTCCACAAACTGGCGGTAACAATTATACTGGACCATCCACAGGTACATTATGAGCCCTGCAAGACAAGTAAATTGTACTATTGAATCAAAATAATAATAAACAAAGTTATAACATTTTTTAAAATGAATCTTAAACAGATTAAATATGACAGAACAAAATAATGGATTATTAATAACTGTCTCCTCTTAAATAAGTTATACATATTTACGGTATTAACTGGAAAACTATATTTACCTCTTGGAGAATAAATTTACTGGTTTAAATATGTCGGGTATAAAGCGGTAAAAATTAAAAACTTTTCGGAGGAAACTGATTGGATTCTGTGTGGAGGAAAACTAGAAAAACATTTCCCGCTACCTCAGCGCTGATAAAGGAGACAACATGTTTCTCCGAAACGTCGGTAATTTTTACTGCTTGTACAAGTTGCGATATCGAAAAAAATGCTACAGCGACTAGTGATTTATTTATTTGTAATGGGCGGCTGTCAAGGAACGCTATTCGTCTTACCGATGAAGAGGGTACAGGTCAAGACTATCACCGTTCCGCAACCCACACTGTAACCCGATGAGTTGAGAGTTATCTGCATATGCATTAATGCAAGTGCGATTATGAGCAGCAAATCTACGACCAAGTGGGGCAACATCAGAACTGGAACTTCCTGCAGCAAGGACACACGGGAATGAAAGGCAATTAATTAAGATAAAGGAAACATTCTTCTTTCTTGCGTTCAGAACTTAATTAATTGTGTAAGATTTGAGTTTTTCACAGCGGTGAGTATGAAGATTTCTGTCTTCTGGGTTGTTGCGCTGGGTAGTCTGGTCGATGTTTACCAACGTTTCAGAGGTCATACTGCCTCCGTCATCAGGGCGATTCTTAGTATGAAGATTTCTGTCTTCTGGGTTGTTGCGCTGGGTAGTCTGGTCGATGTTTACCAACGTTTCAGAGGTCATACTGCCTCCTTCATCAGGGCGATTATCGCAACAACCCAGAAGACAGAAATCTTCATACTAAGAATCGCCCTGATGACGGAGGCAGTATGACCTCCGAAACGTTGGTAAACATATACCATACATAAACGGCGCAACAACCCAGAAATATTAATTAATTGTTATTGTATTTTCTACTTCAAAAACTTCTGAGACAATTTTACCAAATTGTCCTAAGATAAAAGAGCGTATGATAATAAAATAGAAAATGTTTCTTAAGGCGATAAAGATGTCGATGTTACTTTTACGTAAACTCAATGGTAGATGCCAACGCAACACACTCCATCTTTAGAGAATAATTGTTACTCTACGAAGGAAACAACACTTTACAAAAAGTGTAATTAGAAGATGGTTGTTTTCTTAGATTCATCTCCATGTAGTCTGGTAGAAGTTTACTGATTTTTAAGTGGTACGTGCTGCCTCAATTATCAGGGCCCTCATCGTCAAACCAGACTGCACAGCGCTATAACTCAGAAGACAGCTATCCTCCTCTTAAGTATCAGTAGTGGTAGAAGCCTAACGGTGGTGGCAATGTTAGAAATACTGCATACTTACAAAATGAACCCCCAGTAGCATAAGCGAACTCAGCATTGAAATCGCCGTGTGTATTATTAATTCGAAGGTCACGAATTCCTTCCATTCTGAAAGTAATCAAAATTGGGTTTATGTCTTGGTTCATCTCTGTACTGTTATCTGTATACTAAATATCAGCAGTAAATAATGACGTGGGGTTATATTAGTGGGCAAAAAATGTATCTGTCTCTATATGAGGGAGAGAAAGTAACAGGAGACTGAAGTATCAATGCGAAGCTTCGTAATTTGTAAGTTAGTCATCGCCAGACATTACTTGCGTGATCAAATGAAAAGGATATGATAGAGAAGGAATATAGCACACAAGGGAGAGATAAGGAGTAAATACATTTGTCAGAAACATGAAGGAAAGAGACCACTTGGAAAACCTAGGCTTAGACGGGACACTGCATTTAAAGTATCTCTAAGAGAAAGAGAGGAACTGGATATGAAATGGATTTGCATGACTCAGGGTAGGAATCAGAGTGTGGCTCTTGTGAGGGCGATTGTATGATGAGCCTTCGGGTTATATGACAGGCCAGTAATTTCATGACTATCTGAAAGACTTTATTTCTTAATGAGGACACTTCTTGAAGTAGTTCGTAATAAAAATGCTAACCAATATTTACTTAAAAATTATGCAGCAAGGAGAAAGGGGATTTCAACTAAACATATTTGTTTTAAACTTTTAAAGAGAATAATATGACGTTAGATATTTAAAGCATGTCGTTAGTTAGAAAGCATATAGAATGGGTATCATATTTAGTTGTGACATCTCCTTTCATTATCTTAATAAGAACAACCGGTTTAAGTATGCACTAACGTGTAGCAGTATGTTGGTAAGTAAGTGAAACCACAGCGAAATCATATAGTTAAGTAAAAAGAAATATAAATTACCTTCTGCTAGCTTTAGAAATTCAGACTTTTGCATCTGTGTCAAATATGTTGTATCCGATGTCGAAAGACACAAGCTGATAATCTGGAAGAAAGGTTGATGGTGTGACTTTCAGCCTGATTTTGTATCGGAAATGTTTACAAATTGCATCGTAAAGAGCCCGTTATTGTTAGTACATAGTCTTAACGAAAATTATTATGTGTTGATACATTTTGGACACATTGCATTTACCAACCAACATATGTGGTAATTTGAATGACACTATAAAAACTTACCAGTACGATCCATCCTATGACCTTTGTACTCGTCTTCAGCGAAACTTTGCAGCAGTAGCAACAGTTGACCTCATGTACGACGGGAACACAGTGGGAAGTCAATGGTATTTTCGTCTCCCTGGAGAATATTATAAGGGAATAAAAACCGTTACAGGGGTGGCAAAATAAGTACCTACAGTGTTTTGCTGACTAATCACCCTTAAAACCTACCTGGTTTGTTCGACAAGGTTCTTGTTGTTATGATTCCCGACTGCCTTTAGGTCCATATTTACTATGTTACTGTCGAAAACGAGTGTTATATGAAATAAAACAGACAAATGAAGGAAGAATGTGCAGTAAAGAATGAACGAGAAGATAAAATAAATTAGCAACAATTGTATCTTATGTTACGAATACTTTAAGACTTATAAGTGTATTTTAGATATAGCTGAAACTGAGCCACGAATTTACAAATAATCACAGTTTGTTTATACATTAATAACAAAAATTGCACTGGAATGATCTAATCCAATTTATTACTACAATACACATATTTTTCACAGAATGAACTTGTGTGCACCAATCTACCTTCCTTCCATTGGAAAACACTTTTTAACTTCATCTGGATACTCAGAAATACCCATGACACGCCTTCTTGTATGTTATAATGGCGTCGGTCTGTGGACCAATTCATCGATCGGAATCTGCTTTGCGCATGCTCGTTCTGAATGACTATAAAGAAGAACGACTGCATATTTGTACCATAATGTGATCTAGGGCCCATACTGTTTCGTGGTTTACCTTGGTCTCTAGTCGAAGGTAATATTTCGTCGAGTGACTACTTCATGAAACTATCTTGGAATCATATTAGTACGCCTTTTAATTAGTTTACGAATATCTATTTTAAATAATCCTAAATAACACCCAAACTGGACTCTTAGAAGCTTCCACTCATAGAAGCACAATAACTTTAATTATATTTTCAATAAACCTTATTTTAATTAGCGTATCAAATGTAGCAATATATTTTCCTCAGCAACGGAAAAGGAAACAAATGAACGCTCAAATGATAACTTAAAACACTTTGTAGAAATGAATATATTCTAGAAAAAACCACACACTGTAGACCTACTTACTCACTATATATCGATAATCTTAAAATACGTCACCCCAAGATACAAACTCCCTCTATCATACGAGCTTCTCCACATCGATCTCTAATATCTGTTGATCAATACATTAAGTTAAAACTTCAATATATTCTTCTTCTATCAATATTTCGATTTTATATCCATAGCCGAAATGTCTTCAGTCACCACTCTACGATTTCTTGCCTTCGTTTATATTCTAGAAGGAATGTCTGAAATATTTTCTTCTGGGTCTACCCATACGTCTCTTTCCTTTAAATTTTAATTGCAGTAACCTTCTAGTTAAAAACAAATGCATATGAAGACTAGAACAAATAATTCTATACAGGCTCTATAATCCAGAAGACAGCCTTCTTTACGAAGGCATATGATTTGTCAGGCTTCAAATATCATTGATATGTTTGTAATACAGAATCTTCACGAAAGTTGTGTTTCATTTTAGAAACTTATCCCTGATATAACACCAAGGCAGGAGGTGGACATATTCAACATCCAAACAACAACGTCCAACTTTAATGTCGCCCTAATTGGTTCTGCTTTTGTAGTGCGAGTGTTCACATCAACTTTACGCCAATGTTTGTCAATCATCTCTTTCGTGAAGACGTTGTTTTCCAATGTGTTAATATGTAAACCTCTCATAATCCTCTGGACCCCTTCCGTTTGATATATCACTCACTTTCTGGGCACACAATGCAAAATGACCTTGAGTCACAGTGAAGGCGTCTCTACAGGTGCGGATGTACGCATCTTATTGGCTGAAACTCACCTGACAGATTTGTTATTCGTTTACAACCTTCGGCGAAGTTTTACCTATATTCCTTCTATTCCGCATTGGCTGAATGTTAGGGCGTGGGAGGGCCTCAGAAAATTAACTAGAAGTTATGTAGGTTGACTACAATTCCGGGGCTCCGTAATGGATTACGTAAAACTATACTTCTTCTGTGTTGTGCCCTGTAATCTGGTAACGTCTACCAGACTTCAAGGTGCTACAACACAGAAGTTAAATTCTTACTCGCCGCGATGATAACCTCAAATCCTACTAGTCTAATTAATTTCGTTGGGAAAAAATATATATTCCAAGCAGAATTACTGATCTGTGCTACGCCTACGATCATATTGTTCCACACGATTACAGATTTATTGACTCTCCCCGATGAAAACGATCGTGTGTGGGACGAATGTCTTTTGAAGGCGTCTCGGCGACGGGAAACTGGCGCCAAATCAGCGAAATCGCACCGGGAGAGGGCGACTTTCTTCCTTTGTAAGCATCGTGCGTTCCTCACGTTCGGAAACATGTCTACAGACGTGTTATTTTATGTTGTCCGTTGGTCAGCGAAGGAGGGGTAGGAGAAGGAGAGTGGGGGAAGTGCAAGACAGGTAATGGCAGAATCGCTACAATTCTGACGAAAACCGAAAAGCCCAGAGTAATTACGTTCTCGTTCTTAGATTTAATAGTGGTTTTAAATAATATAAACAGAGAGAGATGGGGAAATAGATTCTTTTTTGATCCGTATTTTATTGAAAATGCACAAATAGAATGTAACCTTCTTCAAACGTGTTATAAATATCACAATACAATAAAATTTACTGTAAATATATTTTTATTTCATGTAAATGCTTACTAAACATAAACACAAAGATAATATTTAACCATATAGGATAACCTTTCATATGTATGTATGTATATATATATACATACATGTATATATAATATTAGTTTCATTGGTTGTAAGGTCGACAATATCGAAGTTACAAAGACACAATCTGCTATGCCATAGAATAAGGAACAGTAGCTTATACACAGACGTTTACTAATTCTGTAGGTCACTATTAATTTAGTTAAAGTGTTACACATAACACGAAACAACCGATATTTGTTAAAGAACAGTACTTGTATAACGTACTTGTTCATTTGTGTCATGTAAATAATGGCTTTATGACACCTTGAATATTAATACGGAACTTTTCTTTTTAAACACCAACCTGATTTCAAATTTATATTTGTTTCGTCAAGTATCGTAAATTTCGTTTCATCTCAAGTAGAAGAAATATGAGCAATGATGTTAAAATCTGTTGGAATAATGCAAGCCCATAGGTCTAAATAATATCATATCTATATTACACATAGGCCTATACATACAATACATTTAATAGGATATATTGTATTATTTTGAAAATCTATAGGCCAATATGTGGGTCTGCTATTGTAGACCTATTTTAGCTGAAGTTTAAGAAAGAATTTTCTTTTAGTAAAAACTTGTAGAGTGATGCAAGGCTGTCGTGTAAAACACAAACTGTTCATCGCAACTTCATCGCCAGTGAGTCTCCTACATCGATTATAGATAAGAAGAAAAAATCCAAAATGGTATCGCATTTTTGTCGAGTTTTGTTATAATCAGTCGGTTAATGTTTAAGAAGTTTATGTCCATATGCTTAATACAATTAGCAGGCAGACAAAAAGATGGAAGATACAGGAAGTTAGATCATCTATGGGTGTACGAAAACCGACATCTATTCCTTTTACCCTACTCCTAAAATCAATTTGTTTAAATCTTAACAAATAGTGGCTTGATTTGTTAGTCTTCATTACAAAAATAGGGCATTTCTTTCAGATCAAACACAAACTTCTTAATTTTTTAAAAAAAATTAGAAACGGTTTGCGTCACTGAACACCTTCTGAATTTGTATACTTTATACAATGAGTCGAGAAATTGATAAATTATCACAATTTGATTTTATTCGATCTGCTGACACTTTAAAAGGAGTTTTAACATTTAATCTTTTCTTCACAATCGAATTCTCAAAATATCGTATAGTTAGATATAAATAAATATTTGGTAACCGAGAAAAGTATTTATTTTTTTCAAACGCGTAATATTAGGCATACTGCCTTAGATCTAGTAGGCAAGATTCGAGGGCGAATGCTTGTCTTCGTCGAGAGGCCTTGAACCACATTCCGTCGGCTTCGTGAGGGAACTGGTTTCAAGCTGTGCATGTGTTTCTGTCATGGCCACTTCTATCAGCTGCCAGTAAAAACTGTAGATTACTAGCCAGCAGTAGCCGGCAATGGCTGAAACAAACGTACGCATTAATATTAATTGGGGAACGGTGGGTGAGACAGGGCGAGAAGCAACAGAGATTTACAGTGCTGTATAATGGCGTGCTAGCAGAAATATTGTCATGCTCACTTGAAGGACCCATTCTTGCCTGTCGTAATTTGAATAACAATATGCCCAGATCAAATATAAAAGTTCGTGACGATGGCGAGTCATTTGAATAAAAATTTCCTTGGATATTTTCCATCGTCTAAGAAATAAAATAGAAAAAACGACGTTTCGGAGATGAGGCTCTATCTCCGTATTCAAGTACCTACTCAGTTGGACCCAACAGATAGAGCTAATCCCTATCTATTGGGCCAAACTGAAGGAAATTTTTATTCAATATGCTCAGAGGTCATTGTTATCTTAATTGTTTTTTCTGTCTTTATTGTATGTCAATCATTATTAGTTATTATATTATTTTTTTTTTATTTTTTGTTGGCTCTGTAATTGATTCCTATAGCTGTTGAGTTAGCACGTTCAAATAAAGAATCGAATTGAAAATAAAAAATTGAATTCAAATACTACTGTTACTGTTATTGTTGTTATTATTAAACAATGACGTCGGATCACATTAGCAAAACAATGAACTGTGATTATGTTAGTTAAAAAACATCCTAAGATTTTGATATTCCTGTGGTCGACCTTTTGATGTCAACGACCAAAATGTGCAGCAAGCACTACTGAAACGTCGGTAAACTTCTTTCAAGCAACCCAGCACAACAACCCACAAGGCACCCATTTTCAATCCGTAAGTGCATTTTATTTGTCTACGATGTGTTTAAATCTCTTACACGCCTTATCCATATGCGTTCTGTTTATTCGGTCTGATTATGAATACGTAAACAGAGTGCGTACCTGTTGCAATGAGACCAGCGAAGAATAAAGCGACGAGACTGTAGAATATTGAGAGCGCAATCACAGAAATGACGCCTAGCACCAGAGTGACAAAGTGGTTCATCACTGCGTATTTCACCCACTGCGCCTTACCCTGACAAGAAACAAGCGACAGGTGAGATGGCGGTTTTCTGGAATGTTCGAACTTGTAGTTTGGTAGATATTGACAGACATTTAGGGGGGATAATACTGCCATCATCACAGCCCTCTGAAATGTCGGACAGTATTTACCAGACTACGCGGTGCTACGTCCCAGAAGACGTCAGCATGATCTTTGTAGAGGGAAAAAAAAAAGATATGGATGGTTGCAGAGAAAAAACAGGCGAGTCTTGTATTGTGTTTATATAAATAATCTTATCGCCTCTAATGTGAGTTATTTTTATTTCTTAATTGTACTACCTGCTTTTTCAGTGTCCACTTACCTTGTCAGCTCCTAGTAGCAGCAGAATATTACCTACAAGATGCAGTAAGCTGATACACAGTCCTATAAGTGATCCCAGCCGATGTTCTGTAAAGGAAACAAGAAATTACGTACCAAAATAGCCTAATGAATGGCACGTCAAAGTTAACGGGAATGAACCATAGTCTCGTTTTCATTTCTTGTTACCGAAGCCTCCAAACTCAAAATTTAATTTTAACGTTATAATACCATTTACTCGTAAATGTAACAAATTCTCTTACCTTCAGATTCTTAAACTAAACTTCAGTATACATTTCTCAAATCCCTCATGCGTGCTACGTGCCGAATCCGTCTTATGTACCTTGATTAGATCACTCTAATTACATGTAATGAAGAGTCAAATTATAAGCAATCTGATCATGCAATCTTATGCATATTCCTCTTGCCGTTTTCCTTTTAGGTCCAGACACTTTCAGAAATTGTTTTCTGCAGTCCCTCATGCAGTGTTCTTACCCTAGAATGAGATGCTAAAATATGTAAATAAATAAAAGCCCTAAATAAACACTTTCTGTTATCCTCGTGTCTGTCTAATATAACGTGATACCTGGAGCTGCCAATAAACAGGCAGGGATGTGGTTCGCGTCAACGTTCCTAGACAAGACTCGTTCTATTGATCTATCTCCAATACGACGCATCAGCAATTTCATTACGAACGTCTGGCGTCCGGCAAGTCTTGGAACGTAGTAGAAGCCTCCTTACTGCCGAATGCAAAAATTTACATTTTCACCGACCATAAATATTTGCATCCGAGGTTCGAAAAGTTAATGAACTGAATTTTGTCTCCGTTGACTGAAAAAAAGCATTTAGTTCACGAGAAATAAATTTGTCACTATTGAAATTCCAGGACGTCATGGCGGTGAGTCTGAAGATGGTCGTCTTCTGGGTTGTTGCGCTGTGTAGTCTGGTCGATGTTAACCAACGTTTCAGAGGTCATACTGCCTCCG